AATTTGGTTCACTTAATTTTTATGTCAAATCGCTATCGTGAACAAATTTTCACCACAAAACATTAACAATTTAGTCTTTTTAACACATAAGGGAAATACTTACGTGCGGTGGTATTCAGAAAATAGACTTACTTGGTCCAAATTTAGTGAGGTTGACTTCTGTGTACATTTACTACTATGAAGCAATCAATTTCATCATGCGATACTATATCTTTATACCATATAAAGAATAAATTTTTGTAGGAACGGTTTTATGAAAGGTCTTTCAAATAATTGACCTAGCCGAGCTAAATTTAGAATGTCGAAATACTATTGCTCAACGATTGTTATCGAAATTGCCATTTTTTTTTCCGTATAACGATTTGTCAAAATATGGGATTACAGGGGAAGTGGTCGAAAAAATGAACCAACCCAACCATTTTCAATGGCACTCGTCCTTACAACCGAAAAACTTCATCAAAACTACAACTTGTACAGTGAACAGAAAAATACATGAACAGACATCAGGCGGACAGGCAAACAGATAAATGGTGTACGTTGAAGTAGAATCTTTAAATTGTCGAAACCATATAGATAGGAATCCAATGTAAATAATAATAATATGTAAATCAAGTCAAGTTGTTTGTTATGGAAAGCCTTCGCTACTATATTTGGGGTAACGAGTAATGATTAGGTCTAAATTGAACCTTCTTTGTTGTTGTTGTTGTTCTTGTGTTTTTTTTTTTTTTTTTTTTTTGCTGAAAGTATAGGTTATATGTCGTTCAATATCACCCCAAAGATTTATTTTTCCAAAGAAAGATAGTTTTATGAACGTTCCAATGTTTACTCTCTTTTTTTGTTTTTTTAAACAGAGATTGTCTTTGAACTAAAATCTTTCTTCTCTTAGCTGAAGATCCATTAAACTCTCTTAAGCATTTAAATCTGCAAATCTGTATATTCGTACGTTCGTTCACACATACACACATATATCGCAATCAATGAAATATTTAAAAAAAGTTTCGAACGGTTTTGCTAGCAGTGTGTTCTAACTAAGTGTGTCAGCTGATTGACACGATTTTTATGCTGTTATGTATATAAAGAATGAAAGACCACAGCGAGTAAGCAAGCAAGCAAGCAAGCAAGCAAGCATACGCACATGCATGCCGTTTATAAGAATCTAGAAATTGAAAATAAAACGAATACATTCCAACAAATAAATACCAACAAATCATTTAGATTGTGACGTTTCAACTTTAACGGAATGCTGTGCAAGCTCCAGCATGCAGAGAGAGAGAGAGAGAGAGAGAGAGACAGCTTGCCAGATGTAACTCCGAGAGTCTTGCAACCAACTACACAACACATCATCATACGATGCATTTTATAACTTCACTCATTTTTAAGATTTAAATAAAAGCCAGTTTTTAGCTTATAACACTTTCTGTTGGAACAAGTTTAACATGTTCTCTGCTGCCAAAGTGTTTTTGTAGAGATTTCGCTTTCTTTTATCACTTTTCAAATTCTGTTTTCCCATCATTAAAAAAATAAACTTTTCCTTCAATATATATATGCATATGTATATGTATATATATGTATATATATTTAAATATATATATATATATATATATATATATATATAAACATATTTTGTTCCATTTAACATAAGGAGAAAAAAAAAGAAAAGAATATCTTACTAGCGACACTGAAAGCTATTTGCAGAAACATGTCTGTGAGTCCGACCTAAATATTTTTAAATTCATTGTCAATAATTGGAATTTGCAGTCAGTTGTTGCTAGAGCTTCTAAATCAAATGGACTTTATTAATCCGATCGAGCGTTGTTGCAATTAAGATAAACACAAAGTCGATCGAGTTTTTTTTGGAATGTAATCTGCTGATAACAGCAAAAGTTCCATTTCTCTAACCATTTGACGGATAAATAAGATCTCTTTCAGTGGATTTCAGTGCCACTCTGTCTCTCTAAAACAATTCTTAATTTGTTGCTAACAATCCAATCTATTGTATAACTATTTTAAATCAAGTCAATCTTGATAGTGGACTTGATGATAGATAAATAATAGATTGAGAGCAAAGTATTACCAAAAATTTCTGTTCGCATGTATCGAACTTTCAACGGCTTTGACCGTTATCAAGAACATCGTATATATTCGTGGCAATGCAAAATATATTGTACAGCAATCCAAGCTTAATACTTCTTGCCAAGTGTTTAATCCAAGTAAAAAATTCATTGTAAAGACTTAAGGTGCGAGGGAAAAAATTAAAATATCTTATATACAAATCGACTCAATGTCAATGTGTAAATAAAAATTAGCTCCAAACGTTTTGTTTCTTCTTCTTCACTCGTAATGGAACTTTAATATGCATGAGCAAGTTTGCAATCGATTAACTTTCAGAGCAAAAATAAGACATAAGCGTTCAAAAACTTAAGTGGAACTAACAGACCTGTTATTGTCAGGCGGACGTTCCATCAGGTTACCTCCCGTGAAGTTTTCTTCAACTCGCGCGAAGAATTTCTCATTTCTCATAAAGTTCTTACATATGAACCGCAAAGTCGAAAAGAGCTCATAATCGAGCTAATTTAGAGGGCTCATAATATCTTGATACACTTACCGGAACGTTAAGGACCCCCCTCTGCTGTAAGTTTCTTCAGGAATAAAACTCTTAGCATCAATTCACCTTTTGCCAGGGACGGTAGGCGAATTAAAAGCAGCCTGTTTGTAGACGAAGAGAGCCTTACTCTTGGATCCTATCCAAAATAACGTGATCCGAACGAAAGAAAGTGCTTCCGCATTGATTCAAGCTTCTCAGCTTAGCAAGTAGGAGTTAGTAACTAGGAGATTATAATAGATCGGCATATTCTAGCTATCAGTGTCGTTGAGCGTTTGCCGATAATAAGTGATCTCCCGGCCAGCAGATTACACAATTCAATATGAAGGATCAACAACGACTATTACTATGATAAGCTTGCTTGTCTGGATATTCTAGCGGTAGCTGCCTAGGCAAAGCAAAGCACTTCAGTTTCGCGAGAGAGACAATTGTAAATTTCACAAAGTTCCCCTATTTCCCCTATAGATGTCAAAAGTCTGAGAAAAACTACTTTCCAGAGGTTGAGCAAATGAATTGTACATTCGCTAGAGAAATTGATTAACCTTAAGGAAATGGGAGCACATTTAAAACTGAATGCAATAAGATGATGATTAATATCTGTCGTTTCATTCGACGTTCAGACGTCAGAGCGCAACTTTATCTTATTGAGATAACTAAACAGAGAAAAAAACTTTCAACTTTTGCAACATACCATAGTTTCAAGAGGTCTGATAACCATCACCGATAAAAGATTTTGAAGTGGGTTTTTAGTTTCTCGAAAACCGGCAACCAGGTAACTAAAAGCAGCGATCACTGTGTTAAAAATGGCATTCGAGTAAAAATTTGCAAATCCCTTTTTGGACACTTTTCCTTTTGGTATTTCTTAGATGCGAATGTAACTGCGATAGCAATCAGGAGAAGAGACTTTGGTCTCTTCGCTGTAAATGAATCTCAATTTAAACGCCTCAGGACAAGCAGTGCTTTGCTGTTGTTTGAACTGCGAAACCCTTTGTGTTATAGATTCGAGAAAATGATGAGAAAAGTGAATCCCAGAAAAATTAGTTGAACGTATTCACGGTGAAAGAAGAAGAAGACTGCCCGCAGCACATTCCCTTCGAACGAGCTTTGTTTGTCAAGGTTTTTCTAAACAACGTTCACCTTTTACTTTTTTGCAGTATATTTCTCTTTTCAGCGAAAGTTGGGAATAATTTTGAACCCCTATACTTCAACCTTTTTGTTATCTAATCCCACGTTTTGATCATTTCATGACCGTTTTTGGATTTGATGGTACCTTTTATATTTGATGTAATCGGGGACACGGTGCTGCAAATTTTATCTTGCGAAACCCTTCACCACACTTCGATTATGGAATGAACATACACAACCTAAGGAAGAAAGAGGAAGTCAAGTAGATCCAACTTTTTCTATTTGTCAATTGACTTGGGTAACTTGGCTGTTGTAATAGACAATATGTAATATATACGGATCTTATGTTTGGCTTTGGAAACTATTCTATTAAAGTCGCTACTTTTTATATGCCGAGGAGAAAATCGAAAATAGAAAATTAAAGCCAAGCGGAGAGTGTTTTTTTTTTTTTTTTTTTTTTTTTTTTTTTTTTTTTTTTTTTTTTTTGAAAACATCTATAAATATTTATAAAAAGAACACAGACATATTCGGTTTTAGAAAATGCATATCCAAACTATTTTGGAATACGCATATGCCATATAAGCGAGCTTAGTCATATATATATATATACATATATATATATATCTGGCGCGAATATGGATAGTGTAAATTGCAATTTTAATGCGGAATAGAAATTATTTACATGCTTATACTATATACAATAGTATTTAATATAATAAAATTGATTGTGCGGATTTATGTAAGTATAATGATGTATATACATATACATATATACATATATATATATATATATATATCTATATATGTAAATATAAAAAAAAAGAAAAAAAAAAGAGTAAACGAAAGTTTGCCTTTTTATAAGCAAGTCACAAGAAGATCGTTTAGAGAAACAAGAGAAACAAGAGCATAATTGCAAAAAGAGAATGAAGAGATTTCTTCCATTCACACACATATTGTGCGCGTTGTTAAAATTTTCGAGCAAACTGATATACTTTTTTTTTTTTTTCGGTGAAGTGATTGAATGAATGCGAAGCATTTTTAGCTGATATTCAGTTTTAAGTACAAATTTCACTGGAACGGTGTGCTGTGCAAAGATACGGATCATCAGAAAAAGAAAAAAAAGAAAAAACGGAATAATCAAAGGTGTTATTGTATAGTATAGACCTTTTTAACAAAGAAAGAAAGAAAAAGAAAAAAAAACAAAAACAAAAAACCAAACTTTATTAGAAATTCAACACATTTACGTATATGCATGCACATATACATACATGCACACATACATATGTATATATATAGATGTATATGAGATATGATAAAAACATATTTTTACGAAGATGAAAAGCTTCTCGCTCAAATAATATAAGCGCGATCATGCCAAGGAAAATAGAAGAAACTCTTTCACGAATTTTTGTGTAAAAAAAAACAAAAAAAAAAAAAACAAGACAATAAAAACTAAATAGTTTTACGAAACTTTGAAAATATTTTCTTCTTCTTCAATTAAAAAAACCAAAAACAAAATAAAAAACATTTTAATTGAAATAAAAAAATAAAAATAAAAAAAACCAGGAAAAACACAATGGCTCACCAGTGCGACCTCAACAATAATTACGTCAATTACACAAGTGCTTATGCAAATACCAATGCCACCTTCGATCGCGATTCTAATTCGACTCTGGCAGCCCCAAATTCTAAGCTCACGTCAAGTCAATTTACGGCTAAATTGATTGTCGGGTCTGCTATTAACGAGCGAAGGGAAAAAGAGAAATCCAGGCTTTCTTTGGCACATGCGAGCGAACGCCGAAATTAATAACATGTTTTTCTTTTCTTTCCTTTTTTTTTTTTTGGTTTATTTTTATATAAATGAGTTATATATATATATATATATATATATATCCATATATATACATATATATGGAAACAAGTGTCTACATATGTTCATTATTTTATTAGAAGCGGTGAAAAATGCTCCAATTTTTAGGAGATCTCTTTCAGAGAGTTGTATGTTCAATGTTTGTTTATAGTTTATATTGTTTTTCATGAAATTTTTTTTTATGAAAAAATATTCGTTATGTATTTTGTTTTTCGTTATTTTTTTTAATATAAATTATATATATCACTATAGATATAAATGATCATTTTGTTATGGTACGACCTGTTTATCGTCTCTGTTGTATAAATGAAGTTTACCATTATATTGTCTGTCCGTGATTCGATCGAAAGGGAGGCGGGGAGAGAGAGAAAGAGAGAGAGGGAGAGAGAGAGAGAGCGAAGAAGAAACAAACACTCCACAAATTGGTGCCTTTTCCTCAAAGCATTTTAATTATCATTTAATTCGCAAGCCTTCTCAGACTATGTCATCATATATGTATATTTATATATATATATATATATATATATATATATATCTTACACATATATGTAACAATGAAAGGGTAGCGGTCAACTAACTAATAACATTACCCTACTCGCATCAAACGGACACCAATGTATTTGTGTACTTTATGCCGTTAATGGCCTCTTATTGAATAATTTATTATCCCGTGCAATATAAATCTTGGATTATTACACTAAGAAAGGCTACTTACTGACCAAGAAGAAAAACTAAATATTCTGAAATGTTATTATTACTTCTTCATTGATCTGATCTCAAACGAGCAGATTATTCTTCTCATCTTGTATGTAATAAAAGTGAAAGTACTAAAGAATCAGTTATCTCTTTGAAGTCGAGATATTTAATAACAAGATGCATATATATATATATATATATATATATCGAGAGAGATTTGCATTCATGAGTATTTAAATTGAATTAAAATTTAATATCAACTTACGAGACATGTATTATATTATAATTAATTATAGAAATATATAATGCAATATGAAAACACCACTGTATACATATTATATGTAAATAATGAAAAATTTATTACAAAAATTGAAGTCGATTTTAAATTATTCTCTGTTATTAGAAAAATATTGTTAAGTCATTTAAATAATAAGTTCATGTATCATATTATTAAATAAAAATAAAATCAACAAAAAATATTAAAAAAAAAATAAAAAAAAAAAAATAAAAAAAACACCAAAAAGAAGGCATACGCTTGCCTGCGTTTTACTTAAATGAACCATCATGGACTGAGATACGCATTTCAATTACAAAAAATACATTGATTGATAAGAATTCATGAGAATTTGCATAAGCAGAGTAGCGCAGTGCAGAAGAAGTTATGCATTATCTGTTAAAAGTTTTCCAGGCCATAATATAAAAATTTTAATATACAAGAGCTGCCAGAGACAAATAAAATGCAAGACTTTTTCTATAAATTGTTATTAATTAAATAATAATTCAAAAAGAAGGCGTAACTTTAAAGCCATGCTCTTAACGTCCTCCTCTCAAACACTTGCGTATAATCGTTGAAGAGAACAGAATAAAACACGGCACGTTTCGTATTACGACGAGATACGCCCTTAGTAACGGTTATCCCCTAAACGCTAGGAGTCTCCTATAGGGCCGTAAGCATAATTCGCTTAAAAAAAAAACAAGTGATCAAAGATAAGGAGCAATATCTCATAGAATGGCGATAATCCGTTTGGAAATCTCGCAAGTCACCAAAATGCATCTCTTACGCATTAATGGACGAATTTAATGATGACGTTCAAGCAAAAGTCAATTTCGAATCAATTTTCTTGAAATGACAGATATATTGAAAAGTTTCGATTCTTTGTAAGGGCACAAGTAATGTGCATTTACCATAAGCAAAAATCAACTTTTATCTACAAAAGCAATCAAATCATTGCGTATTTTGGAAGAAAGTAAGTCAAGGCTATCATTGATATTCGACTGAGCCATAACTAACGTTAATGATACCGCTGCTAATAGCTGCCATTGATCATCATTCGCTATATCTCCTCTTTGTAGCTTACCTAGATATAAAATCGATGCACATTTCCTTGTTGAAGGAAGAAGTCATTTACAATTCGAGTTGTAAATCCAAGCCCAAGTAAAGTCTTCCATTCCCGTTGATTTGTTCATTTCATTGAATTTCCTCAAATTTCATAAACATTTCTATTTGTTTTCAAATCATTTGTCCCTTCTGTTTACATTTATTTCATGTGTAACTATTGGTCAGCACACTTATGTGTCTCTCCGCCCATTGCTTGTTACTTGAATCTTTAAATTTTTGCAAATATTTAAGTAGAAAATGAAATGCATGTATATCTAATTAATTATCAGCCGGTTCGGCAGTTAGTTAGTCTAACTGAATCAACTTGCAAGCCGAGTCTATACATTTAAAATTGCATGCAATTTTTGCAAAAAAAAAAAAAAACAAACAAACAAACAAAAGAAAAGAAAAGAAAAGAAACGAAGAGCTTTCTCCTCTTTTTGACTACATTGACATTACTGTTCCTTTCGAATGTGCTAAGCAACTGTCTAAGCTATATTAATTATCTGCTTGGTGTTATGTGACTACTTTTACTTAAAACTAACTACCTTTTCTCTCATGGTATTCTTGATTCTTCATTCGATTTTTTCATCAAACATAGGTAGATAGATAGATAGATAGATACACTTTCGCTTAAACAACACGTGTCGAGATTCGTCGATTTAATCTGTCTTCTGTTTCTAATTCTGTTTCCTTAAAAGTGTCATTTTGTAAACTCACATTTGGAAATGAGATAACTGTCTATTTTGGATCGACATCAGTTTTTCTCATCTTAAGAGTAAAAACTCTTTCAAACAAATCAATGGGTTATAGGATAGGGTATAGTAACAAGAGGTGTTTATAACTTGTTGCGAGGCACACATAACCCATATAAACATATAAAGTTGGCAAAAAGCGCAGATACACACACACACATTCGTGTGCCACTCATATTTCTTTTATATACACAAAAAAAAAAAAAAAGAAAAATCTTATCATCTTATTTTATAGTAAAATCTAACTTTACTTTCAGTGCCAATCAAAAAAAAAAAAAAAACACAAGAACTGGATTCTTGGATGGGATACATACAAATACAAAAATTTCTAATCGCACATAATATAAACACCTGTATGTTGTTCTATGTATTGACCAACATTTTTACATCAATTAATGATTTGCAAGATAAATAATCAACTTTCAGAGACTAACAATCGGTGGTGGAGTTTGCAGATACAACTTCTTTCTGATCTTGGCTTTTAATACAAATCGTCAGACAAGGTGCAAGTCGTGTTTTAGTACGGTTTATACAATCATTCAAAAAACATATACTTAACATTTTCACTACGAAAAAAAAAAAAATATATATATATATAAAAACAAAAAAAAAGAAAAGTGAAGCTTGAAATGAAATTTATTGATAATCAGTTAATTACTAATGAAAACTCGACAAATTGAAAACAAGAAATTAAAAAAAAAAAAAGCGGTAACTGTGGGTATAGGTTGAAAAAAAGGACATGATATTTTTGTGCTAATTAATTACAAATTTTCCTTAATTTGAAATTTATTTATTTATTTATTTTTTTTTTTAAACTATCGACAACATTTTTTATATCAAAATTTAAATTCCAAACGTATTCTTCTTCAACGTTGTGTTAAATTTCAAAAAACTCGTAAAATTTGTAAATTTTTAGGAAAAAGAGTCAAGGACTTAACGAAAACTCGATTAGCTTCTCAATCGAGATCCTCGTGCAGTTATAATTAATTTGCGCACTAACATACAAATTCTTACAAAAAAGAAGAAAAGGGAAATAAATATCAAATCTTTTTTGGATAATTAACAAGCCAGTCTTTAGACCCGGTCTGTGTCCATTACCTAACAACAACGCATATATACGAGTGTATGTGCATGGGTATATAAACCTGTTTTTGTGAATTGTGTTGCGAAAACTACTTTGAACAGGGACCCCGTAATCGTACAAAAAAGATCGCACAAAAACACGTTTGAGTCTACAGTAAGCGGCACATTTTTCCTCAGTTTTTGTAACCTTAAGTAATTCAACAGCAGATAAAAGAAAATGAAGAAGGGGAAGAACTTGGAATTATGTGAGGATCAAAGGATTATTTACTCCATCTATCTAGCACTTACGTGATGGTGGTGGACATCACAGAATTTTCTTCAACAGTATTTCTTTTTTTTTTTACCAACCAATCAAGTCCGAGCAGGATTGCGGTGAGGGAGGGTTACAGGTAGACAGAGATGGAAAGAAGACGTGGTATACGTTTGACTAAAAAGCGAAAACCTCAGCCACGGTGGGAAAAACCACTGCTGATATACAGTTGCAGTGGCGGGTAGTGGCGGGTGATTTAAGAGCGACGAGTCGCAATAGTGCACTATGCACATGATTGGGAACGCTGGGAAAGCTGTGTTGTCTTGGTAAAAGACTTAGTGAGGTAAAACCAACTCTTTCGTCCGGGTAGAACACTTGCCGCGTATATACCAATACATAAGTGTCCGACAGCCCATATTACACCCGCGTTCGAGGAGAGGTTTACAGCACACTTTTGTCGCCAATGAGCACCTAAGTCTTTCACTGAAACTGCACTATAAATGGTACTGTTCGTTCCCTTGAGCTTTTTGATCACCCAGAACACAAATTTCAAATCTAAAAACATAAATAAACAAATTTTTTGAAAAGATCTTTTACTGATAATCGAAGTGTAACAGGGAGTTTTCTTAGTGATGTGAACCAGCATAGGATAATTTAGTTGTAAGCAAAAATTTTAATAAACTCATTCTAAAACTATCATCTAATTATGCTTTATCAAGTTCCCCTTTTTCTGCTTAAGGAGCGCAGAGAAGAGTAAGGTTTCTTAAAGACTTGTCTTTATTTGAAAATTTTTCAGCTGAGATACGATGGTGTTATGTGATCGATTACTGTCACATATCCTCGCTTTAAGCGAATTCTTTTTCGTTTTTACATATTGCCAGGATTACTTAAGTGATTTCAATGTGAAGAAAAGCGATTGCAGTACAAAGAATACAACGACACAATTTCCCAAACTAATACAATTACAAGATACGGAAATCAATAAAAACGCTTATGAAAGCGATCATTCCGAAGCAGAGCGGAACATAAAATCGAATGAAACTGAACTCTTGGATTTAATACTGCAAGCCTCAGCCAGAGAAGGTCTTCAAGCGATGAGAACTTTATATTATGTTACAGAGCCGGAACTAATTCGAAACGGTGATTACAAACATACATATTTGAAATACATAAAAGCTATAAAATTGATTACGTTCACTGAATTTAGAGCAACTGTTACAGGATAATCATCCAGCCGCTCTTCTATCAAAATTTAGTAATCCCGAAGAAAATACTACACGACAAGAAATGGCTGCATTTGCAATGCTATCGGCAGCCAAAGCCTTTCGTAGAAAGTAAGTCGCCCATCCATTTTTCTCCTGATTTGAAAATGTGAGCATCATAAGAAAGTTTATCGCAATTTTTATAACAAATATATATTTGTAGTAACTTTTTAAGTATTAACTTAGCGCGCAAAGCTCATAGCCAAAAGATTTCCCTAAGACATACCGAGTTGGAAGTGATGTGCCGACCCAGAGAAATTCCGCTTTGCCCTATCTCATCGAAACGGTATCGCACTCACGACGGGACTTGTAACAACCAAGATCGACAAAGATGGGGAGCCGCATTAATGCCTTTTCATCGTCTACTTCCCCCCGAGTATGGAGATGGAGTCGATTCGATTCGGAATGCTGCAGATGGTGGACCATTACCATCGTCACGTTTTATTAGTTTATTAGTGCATGGTGCTCGGGAGGGTGAGGCATCGTTTACATTAATGCTAGCTCAGTGGGGACAATTGTTGGATCATGACATGACATCAACAGCTCAACCCAGGTAAATCGCATTCCTAAATATATAGATATATTTGTTCATATTTTCGAAATTTGACAGACCGATTAACGGTTCAATACCAAGCTGTTGTGGCGGCAAAAATTTTCATCCTTCTTGTTTCCCCATCAAAGTTCCATTCGATGATCCGTGGTTGTCGCCTCTTAAAATCCGATGCTTGGAATTTTTGCGTTCAGCACCAGCACAACGGGCAGACTGCGAGCTGTCATGGAGAGAGCAAACTAATCAAGCCTCCTCTTTTATAGATGCTTCACCAATATACTCGAGCAGTATTAAAGCTTCTAATAGTGCTCGCACGTTTCATAATGGTTTATTGATTTTTGGCAATAATAACTCATTTAATGATGTCTGTCAGCGAGGTGCTCTTGCTCCGCATTGCATACGCGCAGGTGATGCTCGGAGTAGTGAACAGCCTGGCCTGCTGGCACTTCATCATGTTTGGGTTGGTGAACACAATCGAATTGCTTTAGAATTAAGCAAATTAAATCGTCATTGGAGTGATGAAAAAGTATTTCAAGAGACGCGACGAATAATCGGCGCTATGTTTCAACATATAACCTACAATGAGTTTCTTCCCGCGATCCTGGGTCGAAAAATTCTCAAGTTATTTGACTTGGAATTGTTGCAGTCAGGTTACTATCATGGCTACGATCCGGACATAAATCCAACAATAGCAAATGAATTTTCTGCGGCCGCTTTTCGATTTGGTCATTCTTTAGTACAAAACTCCTACATACGTTGCGACCGTTTTCATAACGTTATCAATATTAGTAAGTTTGAACGTTGACAAAGACTTCCCAGAACAAGTCACTTTAACTTGATCAAATTATTTAGACGTAACCCTACACGAAGAGTTTCAAAGGGGAGATATTGGAACTGCGGGATCTTTGCATCGCCTTTTAAGGGGAATGTCTAATCAAAAAAGTTTGAAACGTGACGAATTCATTACACCAGAATTGACAAACCATTTATTTCAAACGCCTGGTAAATTCTTAAAAAATTTCCCAACAAAAATGAAAAATACATTTTTTGATTCTTTTCAAGGTTTTCCTTTTGGTTTGGACCTGGCTGCAATAAATATACAAAGAGGTCGCGACCATGGCTTACCCCCGTATACACGATGGCGAATTCCTTGTGGTCTCTCCCCCATCAACAATTGGGACGATTTTGTCATCAGTGCCGGTCCGGAATCAGCCCAACGAATCGGACATGCTTATCGCAGCGTACATGACATTGATTTGTTCGTGGGTGGAATAGCCGAAAGACCTGTTAGCGGCGCTCTAGTTGGACCTACCTTCGCATGCATAATCGCTCAACAATTTCATAATACGCGAAAAGGTGACCGGTTTTGGTACGAAAATGGTAACTTTGAAAGTTCTTTTACGCCATCTCAGTTGCAGTCCTTAAGACGTGTATTGTTAGCAAACATTCTTTGCCGAGCTGTTGGCAGTGGAACCTTTCAACCACAAATCTTCTTACCTCCTAATCTCACTAATAATGTACGACTTTCATGCGATTTCGGACCATTGGCGATTATCGATTTAAGCCCCTGGTTAGAATTAGATCCTTTCTTACCTCAAGCCCCGACACTATCACAACTATCATCCGAATTTGCTGAAGAAGTTCCAGAGCGCATATTTAATATAATACCTCAGCAATTTCAAGGTCAATTACCGCTTAGGGATAATAAAAATCCCATTAAAAAAGGCAATATATCAAAAGTCAGAGTAAATTCGACCACATTATTTGAACAAATTATTAATAATGAATCCAAAATAAACGACAAATTAGACTTTGAACGTAGAATGTTATTGTCATCCGAAGGACGCCATAAATTAAACAGCAATGATACTTTTCAGCTATCTATAGCGAAGAGTTCAACCAGTTCATATAGCATTTCCGATGATCTTAAAAACGTTGCAACGGCATTCGTTAAGTCCAAGTTCATTCCCGAGCAAAGCATTGACGATGGGGAACCAGCATCTAAAACATACACTACCAATTTCACAGAAAATAGCCCGATTGTTCATGGGAGAGAGAAAACGTCAAAGTTTGAAATCTCGCACGACAATCCGGTAACTATTAAGAATATAGCGGCTTCATCGTGCGAGGTAGAAAATACATGTTCGATAGCGCTGCGAAGTGCCAACAACGACATCCTTAGTCAACAAATTTATAAAAAGATCAAAAATGCAAAGGATTCTACTAAAAAATTTATTGAGGAAGATACAACCGATGTATTTGTGAATAAAGGAAATGACGTCCAAGTAATTGAATCCATAAAGGTGAACGAGAGTCTGCAAAGTGTCAATATATTAAATAAAACTAAAGAATTTGAGAGAGAGTTAGGATTTATTTTATCCGCAAATTCTACACAAGTTTCGCATGACTCCAAGGATCATAATAAATTGCTTATGATTACTAAATCTAATCCTGATCCTGAAACGCATCGTAAGCCCAAATCGAAAGAACAAGCAAAAGATAAAATCATTAAAATGCCTTTACCTACAAATTCCATCAACACTACCTTAATGTCGAGTAGCACAGTTTCGCATTTTTCGAATATTCGAAAAGCAACCCTTGAAGGACAAAACGATTATTTAAGATCCTACGGAGGAACTGTGGACAGCGCGGCTGATAAAGGAAAAGAATACGAGATACAAATTAGTATAAGACAAAAAGAGAAAAATCGAATACCTATAAAAACTAGTCAATATGATGATCGCTCGACTATTTATCAAACGAATCGAAATGACAATTATGCTTTAAGCTATGTTAAGCGAATAACAACATACGCAACATTTTTCCCTCCCGTAACAACCGAACAGTTAACCAACGTACAAAGTTCATTCACAAAACCCCCAATAATATTAATTGTTGACGAAGGCATTCATAGAACTACACCCCAGACCCCAGCCATATTCCAAAATATTGCAAATTGGAATTCGGAGAAACATAATTCTGTTTCCTCATTTAGCAATAAGCCTGATAAAGACTATATTTACAATGGATTTATTTCAAATTCCGCGCCATTTAGCACTTCCAGTCACATGCAAACATCGGGAGACATTGTTTTAAGTGAGACAGAAGATATTGATAGATTTTCATCGGCAAACTCTAATGAGAATACTATCTTCAGTTTTAATTTGAAAGTAAATTCTGACAGCGGCCAACTGCCAAGACCTATAGACACGCAAAAGTACGGCTATGGTTCGACTCTTAAAGCTTGGCAAACCCCAGCGCCAATACAGACATCGAATTCCAATTTAAAATTGCCGCCTCAACATCATCATGCTTCGAGTCCGTATTCATCATCGAGTTCTCAAGTAACCTATTTTAAGGATAAGATAATTAGATCTCAAAGTAAAAACGATCTTCGATCTTCTAATCAAAACTCATTCAATTCAAACAAATCGCCACAATTATTTAAAAAGCTTTCAATTGTAAATCCAACCAATCACGAAACCTTTCAGCACGAAAGTGTCGGTTAAACGGTTTCGAGGGCATTAATAAATTGTAAATGTTAAAAAATAGTAAACAATAGAATATATATTTAAAGGAAAGCAAGTAAACGAAAGAACCGGTAATTTCGATATGGTAGAGAAAAATTGTAAATGTAAGAAATCACGGAAATATTGAAGAAATGATAGAAATTAGAAAAATGTAAATTACAGCAGCAATTATCGAAAGGGAAGTTAAAAAATATTGCTGAAATCATCAAAGTAATACTTCCAATATGAAAAATGAATTAACATACCTTTTGTTCTCTCAGCACCTGCGTACTTTTTTTTTTTTTGTTAAGTTACAAATACGAGCATAAGGCATGAAGCAATCATCTTTGCGAGAAGTCTTCTAACCGCTTTGCTTGGTATAATTCTGCCCGATTTGCCATAAGATTTTGGAGATTTTTTTTTAATCAAAAGATGTATTTTGGCAGGATAAAGGCAAAAATGTGTACGGGTGGGACACACCGTTAAAGCTTAGTCGTGCCTTTACCTTTACCTTTACCATTACCTTTTTCAATGCTACTACGCATGCTTGTTAGCTGCCGAATAATTTGATTACCGTAAAGAAATTTGGGATGATGAGCACTTGCGTAATTATTGATATATATGTTGAATAATAGCTACTCCAAAGTATTTTGCAGCACGTAATTGGTCATTAATTCAGATGGCGTCGTGTTGGACATTTTCGTTACACAATCGTTACAAGAAAACTTTAATAACTCGAATATTTTTCAAATACATTTTTCTATTTCCCATGTTCTCGTTTTCGTTCAAATTATTTCTTCCTTCGTACAAGCTTTTTCATATGCTTTTGTTTAGATATGTCCAAGTGATTTTGCTATGTACAGTTTTTTCCAAATTTCCTTCAAGTTATTTTACCATTTGTCGCTCGGGGCCGTTATCCAATAGATCCTATCTTGATCTTATCACCACTGTTTGTTTCATTGCGAAAATCTGTAAAATTAAATTTTTTAAGATTGAATTGAATAATTTTTAAATTATATTAAACTACTAAAATAGTAAATAGTGTTAAAGTTTTTTAAGGCTAATAAATTTTTAAAAAATAAATTCGAAAATTTAATTCGACTAATGGCGCGAATCTTGCGCTGATCGAGTACATATGTATATATGTACATTTTTTTTGATGTGCCCTTTATTCGCGTAACACGTAAGTATGCATAATATAATTTTTCAGGGTTTTGAACAGGTCTAGTAATGTGCTAAAGAACAACAAATGTAGATAGCATTGCTTTTCCAGTTTAATGCTACTGGATAGTGACGAGTGATAAACATAAAACGACAACAAAACCACGATGTGGAAAAAACTATTATACAAACTAGGCGAACCATTACAATGGGCGGTAAACCCGAACGTCTTCGACGTCCTTACTTGGAGAGAGGACTGGATAGAGTATGTTATGAGCTGTTCAACGAAACCATCACTATATTCAAAAACATTTCTTTTCTTTTAATATAATCCATCACTTAAAAGAAAATATAATAAGACAAGATGAGAAAAGAAAGCAAATATGAAAATCAATTCTTGAGTGATATCTTAAGCGTAATGTAAACTACGTTAATAATTCGCGCACTTACATATAAAACTTTAAAAAATGCTTATCAGAATTTAATTCGAATTTAACTAAACTACATCTTTGCTTATGACCACAAGTTAACGAATACAAATTAAAAAAGTCTCTATTAATTTCTACTTATCGATATGTCGATAGTTGCAAAATGCAGCAACAAATTACACACGTTACTGAATTTACAGCAACAAAGACACATGGTGCCACATTTACAGCAACAAAATATACACGGTACTACTTTTACAACAACAAAATACATATACACAAAAATAGTGGTTTTCAAAGCTTTTTTAGATGGCAAGGCCTTTTCGCTTCAATCGTTTTCAATAATAATGAATAAATATGGCAACGTTCGTAATTAGGATTATTAAAAAGTTGGTTGAAACTTTGTAGTGTAAAGATAAATATTCCAAATAGAAATTAAATTATTACAATGTGGATTCACATATAGTTGATAAATATGGACTGAGTGGCTGGAGGCCAGTTCATCATCTCTTTAACAACAAAAAATAATAATTTATTAATCTGTGAAAAGAGTATGTGCTCGTGCTCTAGTAATTTTTCAAAAAGCCGAAGAAGCAGAGCGTGTTCTTGTGTTCTCCACAAATGGACCGCAACAACAGTAACTACTCCGAACTATCGATATCGTCTTCGGATGAAGATGAGGAGTTGGATGAATTTTCAATGAGCGACAGCACTGATATCGAATACGAGAGTGAGAAACAATCTATGCAACCTACAACGATGAGTAACCCTTTCTGCTTAAGGGGAGAGAAACCGAGAGTGGAATTGGACAAAAAGCAACAAACCAATATAGTGCAAAAACTTATTAATAGAGAAGTAAAAATAAAATATAACGCACGCACGCACGCACCGCACTAACATATATATTATTAGTAGCATATAGCGTATATAACGCTTGTAATTCAATCTAGGAAATTTTATAAAATTGTTAAACAACGCTAAGGATTAATATAAATCGGCATCGAACTATTCCATCTAATAGAAAGTACATTCTGCATATGTTCTTGTCACAAGATAAATCTTGGAAACTTTAGAAACTTTGTCAATCTGTCGTCCAATCTATAAATAGTAATATTTTTCAGGGATTCAGTTTGGGAAATGTCTTTTCGTAGTTGATGCATGGATGCCATGCGCGTTCCGTTTAATTCTCCGTAAGACTTTGACAACGTAATATTCTAAAATTGGAAGACTATATTTAAATTCCTTTACTCTTGAAGTTAGGACTCAAATTTATTTCAAGAAAGAATTTATGAAATTAGTATAGTTTGCTATATAAAATCTGACAATTTTCTTATATATATGTATATATAACTAAAAAGTTGAATTTTTATTCTAGTATTCAGGGAAACCATTGTTTTACCATCGAAACGAACGGCCATTTTATAATGCGGTGCCAAATAGATTATCGTTTTGTCTTAAGTATTTAGTACCTTCTCAATTCTTGGATGGGTATGTTAAATTCGTAAAAAAAATCAATTAATATACTTTACTCTCTTATTTTTGCTTGTTGTTCAATGGGTTCAAATCAAATTATTCTTTCTTTCTATTTGCTACTGAGCCTATACGCAATAATCAAAAATAACATATAGGCCGAATAAAACGCAGACAATTATTACAAATTACGCATATTTTTCAGGCAAGTTTTTATGGGTCTCACCCTTTGCGGTCAATTTCTAATTAGCTACAGTGTATGTTGCAATGATAACGCGACAACGAATCCCTATTCCCTCGCAATGGGTTACAAATATACGTAAGTATATATATATCTTCTCTAATAAGTTTTTCAAATTTTATTAATTAACTGTTATTGCTCCTATAGTCTACATTTTTGGATTTATCAACCCTTCAAATCGCTACGTAGTTTCTATAAATGTTGTTTATTTGATGACCATGGAGTTGATAATATGAAGAATGTTAGCATTATTCAATGGAAATGCGCTGATCCTCGGATCTTAATAGTGCATGGTGCATCGGAAGATGAGAATGAAGAATCTTATATAACCTATGTTAAAGTTCCTAAATTGGGCTGTTTAGACTGCATGAAACTCAGAGGTTCCGAGGAGGAAGGTGATAAAATCTATGTTACGTTTCACTCTTTTACCAATAACGAGGTAATCGTTTCCTTTTATTTTCCGAAATCGCAAATCTAAAGTTTTTGGTCGACACGCGTTGTGCCTCAAATGTAATTTAACCGTGCATACGAAATACTCCACAACTGAATCAGATCTTAAATTTAATCCATATACGCATCTTTTGTGCCCGGAACGTATATTAATAATATCAAATGGCTTCTTTCATATGCTGCACATTGGTATGGACGTGGCGAATCAACAACGGCAGCAGCAATGTGCTCAAGACCAGACAACGAATAACCAAAACTCCATGACAACTTTAGTTTTAAGACCTTTGATGGAAATTGGCCAAGACACATTTAGTCAAGAAGGAATGACGGCTCCACAACTTAGCGATGGTACGAGTGATCAACAATATTTTGCATCTGACAGAAATGGAAGTGAAGGAAACAATCAAAAAATGAATGAATCTGTGGGCAACGTCAAGAGTAATATAGCCAGCATTCAAAGCATTATTGATGATTTCGCTGATTTCGAAAGCGATTCCGTTCCCTCTGGTAGTGATGTCGCAAGGTGTTCATCGCAACAAAGCATTCAATCAGATCCGCGAAGTTCACCATTATCCATAACGAAAAATTCTTGTGAAGAATTGATTTTAAGTTGTAGTCCGATCACATCTAGTCGTAGTAATGTTAATTCCGGGACGGTGAACAGTTCCTCCATTTCTTCAAAGATCAATAATAGTCCTAAAAATAATAGCAATAAAGCACAACGTAACCCTTCGCAACGGCATCGCATTGTTACGGTAAAGCCGTTCCGTCGGGGCGTTTATAATTTTTTTTCCAATATATCAAATCCTTCGACATCCATAATATCCGCACAAGCAACGAATAGTACAAATAATGATAGAGCTGCTACTTATGAATTTTCGGAAGACAATGAAAAATGTGAAAAAATCTCGATTCTACGTAAGAGACGATTAGCTGAACGAAAATACGAATTTTCTGAAGATAATTCGGAAAATATTATACCATTCACTAAAATACGTACATCTAGCAGTTTCAACTCTTTATTTAGTACAGCTAATACCGATAATAATTCATCTCGACGCAATCAAAATGTAAATCATCTGCCTAATAATTCAGCCTATGTCTCACCCACTTCTTCACCGCATCCTTATAACTCGAGCACACCGCCTGGCGTACAGTACGAAATGGCTCGGCATTGCACTCCACCAGCTGCCTTGTCACCTTTACATCATACATGCACATCTCCGTTAAGCTTCAGATCACCTCCATATACATCTATAATGCGTTCACCCAGTCGTCACTTAACAACTGCAAATATTTATTGCAATCAAAGATCACCGCAGCAAACCGCTGTAACTCCTGCAGCTCAATATGTATTAAATTTTAAATCTCCTGGTGTCATGTCTCCCCTCCCTTTACCCATTAGTAAACGGTCACATTTGGACGTTATGACAGGCTCCGTATCACCAAATAATCAGCTATCATTTTTGTCGCCACGCAGGGAAGAACTAAGGATAGTCGAAGTGCCGCTGCATGGAGGCATGTCTGAAAAACCTGTGTGTACTAAAAAATTTCAAAGACGCTATGTGGATGAAGACGACGCTGCTTCAGTTATAACAAGCGAAGAAGGTATTAAGATTTTTGTATTTAGCTCTCAAGGCAATCATATCGCGTTTTTTTTCTTTTTTTTTTTCTTTTTCAGATGATTGTATATCCCCTGGCTATCATACGCTGCTTCCCTTGGAAGTACATGGCTCTTGTTATTCGGAAATGCAAATGATATCAAAAGCTTCTTATCAGCAATTATGTTGCACTAGCGTAATTATAGAACAGCATTCCTTTGATATAGAAACCTTCACCTACTATGTTATTAGTACACTTTGTCAAAAGAATCAAAAAATCTATGATTTTTTTCATGACTGGGCATACGAGATGATAAACGTGAGTATTATTTGTGAGTTCTTACAAAGAGTGGATAATAATTGTATTTAAAATTTCGAATTTTCAGATATGTCCTTTAACTTGTACGGTCTTCTGCTTGTTGATGGCCCAATTTTCTTGCCGTGAAGAAGTTACCTCTTGTCAGAATTGTTCTCGTAAATTGAATTGTGCTTTCCATGTGAAAAAATATGAATGTCGAGTTCTCTTCGCTTGGAATATGGTCTCTGGTGATTGGGAAGTTTTGGATTTTGGCGAATTATATGAGCACAAATTATCAGATAAGCTTCCTTCGCTCGACAATGAGAATCGCAACAAACACAGTCCTCAACCATCTTCATCTCTAAGTCAAAAGGCTAAAACACTGGCTCGTGAAATGTCCCATACTTTAAGTAAATTGCCCGATTACACGTATAATTTACGAGTTTTAGATTCGAATATCAAAAAATCGAAAAAGTCGATAACAGATTATGATAATATGATTGAATTTCATCAAAAAAGAAGAACGCGTTCAAGGAATTAAATTTTATTGTTTATTTCCTTTCAGTCTTGGCCTAAAGCTACTACTACTAATGATATCAACGCAAAATTTTTTTTGATTTGATCTTATCTCCTTTCAACTTTTATTCGAATTCTTTTGTTTTTTTCATTCCAACAAGGCGCCTTCCTTCTTTATTTTGAAACTATTCCGCTTTTTGATTTTAGTTTCTCATAAAATATTTTGTAATTGAAATAAATGCAATGAGTGAGATATTAAAGATTAATCTTAAATGTTTTTTTATTTTTATGAAGCGGACGCATGCCTAACTGAAATTAGTAGAGAGATATGGAAAAAAAAATAAAAAAAGAGAATCGATGCGATATCTAAATTTGATTTATGGGGCCTTGACTAAGCACTTGTTTGATTTTATATATCTCAACCATTTTTATTTAAATATTTGGCTAAAAGAATATAAAGAAATCCGTATTAACCTCAACAAAATAAAGCGTTACATTTTTCCTTTTGTCTTGTCGGCTTTTTTTGCCCATTAATTGTCTATATTTTTTATCATTATTTTTGTGAATTTTTTTTCTTTTTATATTAAAATTTTGTTATTGTTAGCTAAAAATATGCTGCCTTAGATCTTTTATTTCTCTTTTGATTTTATCTCGCCTCAAGAGCTGTTCATTGCCTTAAGACGAAGTTTCATCATCATGAAGAAACCAAGGGACTGCGATAAACATCTTCATTTCAATTAAGACAACCAGAGTTAATAACTTTTATATATATATATATGTATATATATATACACATAAATATACATTATTTATATATACATACATATTGTTTTCGTTTATTTTTATTTTTTGTCTTTTTTTATGACTTTTTTCAACTTCTCGTACGACATAATGACTTTTATTCCTTGAACTTATTTTAAATTTAAATTAGTTTTTTTTTATTTTGTTTTTTATACTAGTTTTTTATACCCACCATCAGAGAGCTATATCAGTGATAATTAATATACATTATATATAATATGCACCCTAGAGATCGTAAAAATGTAAAGTCTCGAAATGTACAGTCAGTTTAGTTAAAGTAATAATAAGGCTCGCATATTTACTAATAATGTCGTAATCAGAATTAAGAGAAAACTTTAAAAACAAGCAAGTAGCACTTCGGATCACAACCACAACTTTGTCTTTTAAACAAACAAAAAAAAAAAAAAAAAAAAAAAAAAATGCAAAGAAAAATTTATATAATTTGTAGTTTCCTTTACACAAGAACACTGATGTCGAGCGCACACTGTTGGTGGATATAAACAATTCGAAATAAGCCGAACATCTTATGTATATTTTGTTATATATTAAAAAATAGGCGCACAACAATTATACCTCTTAAATATACTATTTCACAATATGCAACCTTGCTCACAAAATTTTTTTTTTTTATGTATATGCTCATATACAGATAAATGTCTGCTAATGCATTTTTTTTTTTATTTTTTTTTATTTTTACAGAATAATTTATTTATACCAAATAAAAACCTTCATGCTGCTCTTACACCTAAAATATTTTATCTATAAAGTTTTGTGTTTTTTTTGTTTTTTGTTTTTTTCGCATTTTTGCTAAAACTAAAACAAAGCAAACCAAGAGTACAAAAAATTATTAAGAGTATATTTTTTTCTGCATATGCGTATGCATTTATAAAACAGAAGAAGCCTTAAAAACAGTGTATTTGGAGGAGGGTATGTAAGTTGGTATAATATTTAGATATATATATATATATATATGTATATATATATATATGTATATTTAATAGGGTAATGAATGAACTTTACAAATGAGATATTTTTACTAGAGTTTGTATGATGAATTATGAAAGATGTAATGCAAATATTGTTTGTCATATAGAATATTTCATAATTTTTTTGGTGTATCATTTTTGATGCTATTGCTGTATATATAACAAAAAAAAAAAAAAAAAAAAAAAAAAAAACTTCACTAAAACCAATTTCAATTTAACAAATCTCAGTTTAACTTTATACTTTTGCTATAAATTATGAGGTTCGATTTTAGTTCATATTATATTTGCTGTTGCACTTTCCGCTGCATTATATCTCCATGACCATTTGCAATATCTTTTCCATTTTTAAGTGCGCTGCCGAGCGTTACTCCATTGCTTAGGCCATTTAATTTAAAATTGCCAGCGTGACCGTTCGTTAAATTAGTTTCTGTTCTATCGACGGTTTGCCATTTTGGCCCAACATAACCGTTAGCACTCGATAAATTACCGTTCACTTTCACTTTATCATTCTTCTCGTGACGCTGCAAAATGAACATTAATAAGTTCTCGTATTTCTGTTTTGTGGCGTTTTTTGTTTTTTGTTTTTTTTTTTTTTTTTGAGTTGACAAAATAAAAGTTTTTTAAAGGCCAGCGATCACGTACGAAGACAAGGAAATAATAATGCAACAGAAAATTAGAAACAAATTTATTGATATATTATAGAAATATTGATTATTAATATATTTTTAAATATTTTTATAAAGTGTTTACATTACTCTCCCTCTCTCTCTCTCTCTCTCTCTCTCTCTTGTTGCAGTATGATTTTTAAATCAGACGCGAGAAATGGATCACGAAGTAATCATATATTCCAAATTTCAATTATTCTATTTTATTCTATGCGTTTTGAAATTTCAAAAACGGACATGACTAATTCAGAAGTTCAAGTTTATTTGAAAAATATGAAGGTTTCGTAACGCTTCACGACGATGGATACAAAAAAAAAAAGAACGCTGCGTTAACACATATCTAATAAAAAGCATTATAATAAAATGCACTAATCATCAACAGAGATGCGTTGTAAAAAATAAATTTTTTAATAACAATATTTTGCTTAACAGTTCATAAACTTTGTATTTTACTTCTTCTAAAACCCAAATAGAACTCAGCGTACATCTCATTAAAGGACAATGCATTCGATTACCTTTCCATTTTTATATAAATGGATTCCATTTTCATATAAATGTGGCGAAGTGCTACTTAGTTACTCATAAAAGCATCGAAATTTGCCTTTAAATTAATCAGATTCTAATAAATTCATATCTATATTCCCTTCAACCAGTTAACTGTCGACGTACGTTACTATCCGTCCATCTGTCCTTATCATATTGCCTCATAAAATGTTATCATTATGAATGTATATTTGTCGTAACAATGTATTTTTCAAAATATTTTTGTCTTTACGTCAAGTCATTTCATTGCAATCTATTTTCGCATTACACACGCATTACTCTAGTATATCGCTAAAGAGGCCGACACAGTTAACTGGTTAATATATAGTTTTTTGGATTTAAAAATTGTGTGAAAAAAAATAAATATATATATATATATATAAATAACTTACCGTTTGACGACCTTTATAAGCTTGCTTATAGAATTCATTGAATAAAAAGAAAAACATAACTGCGTGCATACCGATCCACCAAACAAAAGGTCTTGGATAATTGCATTCAATAAATAGTAATTGAAAAGCATGAACCATTATCAATATAAATTGAACCTGAAACAGATCAAAGAAATAATGATGACAATGAATGGCACTTCTTGATATATCAATATATATATATATATATGTATATAGTTTTTTACTACCATTTGCAAAGTTGTTAAATACTTTTTCCACCACAAGTATTTATGATATTGAGGACCCATAGCCGATAACATATAATAGGTGTACATGATTATGTGCACAAATGTATTCAAAAAGCCAAAGAATGTGCTATGACCACCAGGAGTGAATTTAACGCCGAACCATACTGACAATGGCATACAACCATGATGTATTACATGTAACATAGTGACTTGACTTTGTTTCTTACGTAAAATAAAAAAAATCTGAAAATGAAAATTTTTATTAATAAAAAAAGATAACGTTCCAGGCAGCAAACAATACAACAACTGATAATAGCGCTTACCGTATCTATAAATTCAGTGAATTTAGAAAAATAATACCACCAACAGGCGTGAACCATCTACATTTTTTTAAATAAATAAAAGGTTATAGTAAATTAAATTTAAAAATCATTTCGACTCATATTCTCTTAAGAATGTGTCATGATTGGCAGTTAAAAAATGCTATGCTTTTAAAAATGTATTTTTTTATGAAAGTGTTATGCAATTTTAATGATGTTAATATTGTGAAGATAGGAAAAATGAAGAATAATGATATGGGAATGGTATTGCTTGACATTTATTATCAATAATGTTACACTCGTATGTAAATTATTTCAAAAGTATTTGTATACATATGTGAATTATAATTTTGGTATCACACAATTTTTGGAAATATTGCGAAATACTTGTGTGTTCGCGCACACACAAACACATTAAATCAAATACTATTGAAATACTATTGATGATTGATTAGTATATGTATGTTGGTGTTTAACATAAATTAGGTGATGGGTAGTTATTGCACGTACCCTTATTGTTCTAGGATTATTATTATATTCAACTGGCTGACATCGGAAGCTATAGTGTCCCGTCAGCCAACCGGACATTGCAATCTGAAAAAGGTTGAAAAATTATGATGCTTACATACATATATATGAAGTGTTTTTGAAATGCATTTAAATTAAATACTATTGTGACAGGGCTTACGACTTCGAACAATGTTGTTTGCGCATTTTCTATATATTTTTTTTTTTGCATTTCTAAAGTCTTCTTCTAATCCGTAGAGCATGTATATTGGTATTGCGGTGAAAATAAAGGCTCCTTTCTTTTTTTTTTTTGTACAACCTCTAATTTATATGTGAATATAAATAATGTAATAATATGGACATTAAATGGCATAAGTTTTATAACCATAGGACAACTTGATTGATAACATTAGAAATTTATCGTTAGCTTTTCATTTCTTGTCTCTGCATACGCGTAAAACAAGTAAAAAGACCAATGTGGGACAGGGCCCATCATTAAGTGCTCTACATGACCTCGCTTAATGCAGTTATTCATATGACGATCTTTGAAAATAAGGTATTATATAGGAAGTGGATGAAAATGTGGTCCACTCTAAACTATTTTTAATGACGTTCGTCCTTGGGTCGAGAGATATGGGTATACCAAATTTCATAAAAATATCCCAAAAATTACGCTCTGCAAGCTAAGTACAAAAACAAGACGGATAGACAAACTTAGATAGATTTTGACGCGTTCGATATAAGAAAAAGTACCTCTATCTTAAATTCTTCTGGATGTTTCATACATTCGCACAAGCTTAATATACGCTTATACCATAAGTGGTGTGGGATATAAAAGCATAGACACAATTATTCAATAATATATTCCTTGGGTCACATTGTTTTCAGCGTTAATTTAATTAATAGGCTTTTGGAAACTATAATGAGTAGACAATTTGTTTGCCTTTGAAGCTTAATAAACACATTAGCACACATAGCCAGAAAAATGTTTTCGGATATCATTAAATTTGTAAGTAAAAATGCAGAAATAAAGAGGATCCTCAAGAGCAGTGCCAAACCCACTGCCAGCAAAAGCAAATAAAAGCCATTATATCCTCTGGAGAAATCCTGAAAGAAATTAGTGAGAAAGTTGCCGTAGATCCCGTTAGAGCATTGATAAGAATGCGCAAAAAAAAAAAACTATTCTACCACAAGTTGGGCGATAAACTGCAAAGTCACGCTTCTAATTTCAATAAAAGTTTGCAAGAGCCCAGCAAAGAAGGGGCAGAAAATAATTCCAAACTGCAACGAATTCTATGAAGGGTTTAAAGGAGCGTGGTTTTGTATGCGAGGACTTTCGACATGTCGAAATCTTGCCGAAAGTATCAGTTGGGATACATTACAACGTATATTACGTAAATAATACTAAAAAAAAAAGTTAATTTTTATCTACTATTACTATATGTGCGAACAGTTTCCAATCCCAGGTAGTTTTCAGTATAAGGACTTATTACCTTCAACTACATAGATATTTTAAAATAAATACCAAGTCTCTGCATTTTTTTTTTTTTTTTTTGCTTTTTTAAGAACTAAAAATTAATTTCACAAAGTTTAGTGATTGTCGTCATGCTATTATGTTTCTACGATTATATATATATCATATATTTTATATTTTGTTATAAAACAAAAACTTTTTTTTAAAATCTAAACTTGGCTATTCGTACATACTAACAATCATGTTTTTATAACCCGCCTGGTTTTAAGATAAGAATTTTAATAAGAGAAAAAAAACAAAGACGTTATTTTAGGTCATTGTGCAAATTTAAAGAAGAAGAAAAATGAAAAATTTTCTCCATCTCGTTAACGTTTACCGTCAGAAACAATTATTGTCCATTCAGTCGTAGCCCATTGGTAAATGTTATGAAAAGATATAAGACATAATTTACCTCGTAGAAAATCCAAAGGCTTAAAACCACTTGTATGGCATTGTAAATAACTAATGTATTCTGTAAACGGAATGGCTTCCGATTTTCCATTAATCGTGGACCGATTACCTAAAAGATAATCAAGCATTATTAATATTATTTTGTAAATACAAATGTACTTGAAAAACTATACCTTAACGAAGTAAGCGTAAAAGACGCATACAATTAATGTGGGAAAAGGTGATGACATCATCGGCCAATCCTTCGTACGTGGATCTGAAAAAAATCAATATACAATTCATAAATTTATTATTTTTTCTACGCTTTTTATTGCTAATGCAGTCTTACATATCGCTCTCTCTCTCCCTCATTGTCTCTGCCTTACATTTATCTAAGCGCATTACTAGCAAATTATCAAGCTGGATAAATCAAATGCGATTAGCCCAAGTTTTTTTTTGTTTTTGTTTATTTGCAAACTTGAATATCTTCCTCTATAATCAATTAACTTAAGTTTGTTATGTTAAGACACATAAATTTTATGCGATATGCATAAGAATTACATTCAATGCTTAGCCCCCCACCCCAATCATATTGTAATGTAAGCTTTTTTACCCCCAAACCGATCCGTTATTATTATCATTATTATTATTATTATTATCTATAACGATAATGTATATATGATGATAATGTAATTGATTCATTATAACTAAATACCATCTGCAATGAAACTTGTGCTGTGTTACTGTACCAAGAAGGGATATATCAAAAATTATTTTAGATGATGGTAAGGCCAACTTTGGAGTTATTATAATAAGAAAGGACCAACAATCGATATATATATAAAAATAACATTTCTTTTCAATTAATACCTATAACAGACGAAAGGTATGCATTTTGTCCTTTGATGGTCTTATAAATGGTTTCTTTGCGTTTTTTATTCATATTAAAATTTACATTTTAAATAGTTATTCAATGCCAGAAAGTTGTGAGCGAAATCGTATATACTTAGGTAACTTTATTAAGTTATTGTTAATTTCTTTATATACTCATTAAATTGAAGTTTTCCAAAGGTAGTGTAATTCTCTTTATTTCAATCACTAGCTCTAGCTTCCTCTTAGCAAAGGCAAACTTAAAAAAAAAAAAAAAGTTTACTTACAAAGAGATAACAGAAATGAGTAAAGCTTTTTACGCATATAATTGTAAATGTTATTTTATTCTCCATCGCACCATATAATATAATGTTTCTCTTGAATTTTGCTCTATGTGAAAAAAATAACACCAATTTGACGTTATTTTGTAAACCTGTATAGAAAATTAACTAACTATTAATTATCATTTACTTCTTCTCCTAAAAACAATCATAATTGTCTTATCTAAGTCGGAGTTTGTGTTTTTTTTTTTTTTTTTTTTTTTTTACTGGTAAAGGCGCTTTCTGGTCTAGATCAAAAGAAGAAAAAAAAGAGGACACTTTGGATATGAGCGAGAAAGAAACTTGTGATCTTTACGCTTTTCAAGAATGTTAAAATGAAATGTAAAATGAAAATTAAACCATTACATGATTATATGATTACTTATGAATTCTGATTTTCTGTAGCTCGATCTATTATTATTATTATTATTATTATTAATTTCGCCAGAGAAATAAATTCTAAGACTAAAATCTTAAAAGCACTAGCATCTAAGGCTATCGGCTTTTATTAAAAACTCTACCGCACTTGAGATTCGAACCCACGACCATTGACTTGCTAGTCGAGATTCCTCGCCTTCGGCTACTCAGGCAGATAGCTCGATCTAACATTCGAACAACATATGGAAGATATTATCAGCTACGTATTTGTTACAATCTTTTCATGCAATTGTTTTATAATAAAGTTTTCGGGATCACTTAAAGGAAAGGCAGGGGCAACTGAAATAAATCGAGCATTATACGAGAGAGCAAAAAGGTATTTCTTTTTGAACCATATTTCGAAAATAAAGAAAAAGTTTGGCAGCCATAGGTCGCAAATTTCGCACATATTATGATAGTTGACGACCATATCATGTAATTAAAATACCACTCGATTTCTTTTTATGGATTTACTTGAAGTCAAAGATCTATATATCAATGAGGTTATAACGGCGCGTACATGGAAGGAAGAGACTCAACGCTGCATCAAGTGAAATTTAGCCACATTTATGCAAAATTGTCATCGAAAATTTTAATAAAATAGTACGTGTGTGTCAGCAAAGCTGTGCGGTTCATTTGTCCGATGTACTATGCCACACGTAAACCTACCCTATATACAATAGGATTGAATAAACAAAAAAAAAAACAATTGTTCAAATCTTGTGTCACAACTTATACGTAAAACTAATCAGGGCTTATCAAGACACGAGTGTTTAATCGTTTTTCTAAACTATGTTCCTGAAGTGATCGCAGTAAACTCAGGCAAAGACCAGAGCATTTCCTTTTCTTTCTTTTTCTTTTTTTAAGAAATGTACTGTTTATTTGATGTGAGCAAAGTATTTATATAGCGGTCAGTTTTCTAAAGTTTAGATTAAAAAAATTTCATCCATATTTTCACACTATTCTACTACTGTCGCCGCGATCAACGACATTTATTGCAAAATAGTTACTTTACAACCATTGTAATGTGCACATATATTTAATTTAATTACTTTTCAGTTATATCATTTCAATTTGAAATACCGTTTTAAGAAGCACGACAAGATATTTGAAAGGGTCATTTGAGAACGTTGTGAAAAGTGCATATTTTCTAAACTTGCTCTATGAAACAGTTTAGCAAATTATTGGTTTCCTAAGAATGATTTAGTCTCTTAGTGTTTAGTAGAAAATTTTTAATTTTTGTGTTTCAAAACTACTAAAACATATATATATATATACATTTGGATATTAAATCATTAGCACAAAGTGCTTTAGGCTATTTGACTTGAATTTGAACTCCATACTCGCATTATAAACACATACATGTATTTACTTTCTATTGCAATAAAAAAAAATTTCTATTTAAATTATTTACATGAACTAAATTATGGAGGTGTACCGAGATTTTAATGATCAACGAAAGCTGTAAACGACGAATCAATTAGTAATAATGTGTTATATTTTACAAAACTATAAAATTTTTATAAACGTTGAAATATTTACGTAATAATATCAAATTTCAAGGTTAACATGATCTCAAATAATCTACTAACAGTAAGTATAGCTTACTCTCACTATATGGGGGTGGGTCATCTATGGCTTAAGAACAAATCAATTATGGCAAATAAATATCCTCCGATTAAAAACAATATCAGGATATATCGGATCGTTGATAATGATGAATGCATTTCATTGAATTACTTACCGCCATGTGTGTCCATATATCTGTTCAAATTACTTATATATTGCATGATTAAGGCCATTGTGGATTAATTTATTAATAGAGATGATTTTTTTTTTTTTTTTTTTTTCTTAAAAGGTGGGCCAGACTAAGTTATCTTATATCAAATCCTTTGTCGTTATCTGCAAAAATAAAACAACAACGTATGTATATAGTAAGTGATATATTGATATATATATAATAAGATCGATAATCGGCATATTTTAGATGAAATGAAAGTTACAAAGACGCAATGAGATTTGAAGTATATCTACAGTTGAATGTACCGTACAACATAGATAAACAGTGAATCAAAAAGCGATCCTTTGGCTTCATCATATGATAATTTGAATTTGATTTGCTACTTTCATCAATACTCTTTCGCCTTGAATGTCATACATTTCAGCAGTCATGACCGAAGGAAATAAATGCAATCCTTGACATTTGTGACACAAGAGAAAAGGATGTAAAAAGACATTTAAGTATTAAAGTTTAGTTCAAGTTTTGTCTCATCGCCTAAACCTAGAATATTGTGAGTGCTATTGAAAGCCTCAGCTTCTTTCGAGAATTTTCTTTAACAAGTTAAATGTGTCGACCTCTTTAGCGATATAATTGCATACTCGCCACGCATGCAGGGTATATGAAATTAGTTTGTAATGGAATGATTTGGCAAAAACATCTTCTAAAATGCATTATTATGGCAAATACAAAAACCATAAATACATTCATAATGATAAAATGTTATGAAGAAATCCCCAAAAAGGACAAATGGACGGATCATAATGTATGTACTCGTCACTTGCAGTTAGCCGATGAAATTATATGTCCGTGTAATTTGGCAGAGCCACATTCCCTAGCATACACCACTGTCGAAGGCTATAATGGAAAACTTTAACTGACTACTGTTGTTGTAATTTTATAAATTGGATATATTAAGGATGTTAAGGATCATGCAGATAGTAATTGCAAAATTGGAAATTTTTTCGATAACAGTCCCAGTTTTAGCTAAGCTACGGTCATAAGACAAAGGTTTCTTCTTCTTCTATAGATAAAAATTTACGATCGACAAAAAGTTGTGTAAATACCGATCCGTATGCCCATCGTTTCTGGGCTCAAGACGAAGACAATCTTGCTTGTATCTAAATATAAAGACGCGGAAAAAAGTAGCCATCATTTACCTTCGCAAGCACATCAATGTTACATGTTCGTATGTCAATTTTTTTTTTGTAAAAACATTAAAATATGTATGTACAGTGATCACATTTTATCTAAAAACAATTACGGAATCTTTACAAGTCGTTGTCGTTTGCGATTTTCCTTGAAATATTTAACTTACTGTTTAGAACTACCGTAGTAGTTATTCAAGTGTATGAAGATGTATTTGCTTAGTAATATACTCTACACTTATGTGCATTTAAATAAGAGCAATTGCGATTTCTAATATCTAACACAAATATATATATATATTGTTTTTTTTATTATTATTTTTGTCCACTACTAACGATTGCATATTACGTATGTTTGTCACGCTTAATATATATGTACAAAAAAAAAAAAAAAAAAAAGTAAAAACAACGTTCACTTTAGAACAAAGTTTAAATACCTAACGACATCTATGATAAACATATAAAAAATGACTTATTTACAACGCATTGATACATTTATTGGACGGTAAAGAACGGCTTGCAGTCCTTTCGAACATAATGAATTCTTTCCGCCGATCATTTATCCAAATACCCTGAACGTGTCATTATGAATCTATATATAATACTGATTAAAAAGTAAAAATATATTCAAGTCAAATCGGGCGGTAATATCGAATATCAGATATATTAAAAATATTAATAAAAATCGCGCCAAAGTTGTTCAAAAATCAAGCTGATGTTCAAAGTTTTCTTCGTGTCGTGCACTATGAGCTGTTTCCGTCAGGTCAAACTGTTAACACAGAAGTACTATTGCAGTTTGAGGTTTACTTTGAAGGGGAGAAAAGAAAAAAATTGAATTGGTCTTACTTTTTGAACACAGTACAGGCAATGTTTTATATAAAAATGTGGTTAACTTTTTTTTTCTTCTCTAAATAAGTAAATAAATTATAAGTTTCGCGTGAAATTTGGCAGCAAGTGTGCTTAAGGCTGCTTTGTGTTACTCATTCATTTCAAAGCTTTAGGATTTATTAGAGCAAAGAAAGTAGGAATTGCTCTCAAATATTGTCTGTCAAGCAAAGTTTCATGAAAGTCGCTGAAAACCTTATCGAAAAAAACAAAATCAATACATAGGAAAATATCTTAGAATAAGTGCTAGAAAGTTGGCTTAGACGCGTCCTAGCAAAAACTTGTCCAAGTAATGTGTTATTGCTTTTCCCTACTTCTTCCCGGAACTAAAATTATCACTTTCACGAAAATGTTTCCAGTCAACTAAACAGCTAATTGACTATGACGCGAATATATATGTCATAATCTGTCCATCCGTCCTTGTTGAATTTTCTCATAAAATTTTATCACTATGACTGTATACATATATATACATAACAATGTATTCTAGCAAATATTTTTGTCATGTTGTCAAGTCGCTTCATTACAACCCATTTTCGCATTACACATTCTCTGTGTTTAACAAGCACCTGAGTATATCGCCAAAGAGACCGACACAGTTAACTGTTTAATTCACCATATAAATGATTCCCAAGAAATGTACTATATATGTCAAGCATATCCAATACGATAGACGCCAAAAATTCTCATAAAATTCATTATAATGTTTCGCTCTGTAACAGCAAGATATTATCACGTTGGACTTTAGTTAATAACAATAGCAAACTTTAAATTTGACGACCGATGTGAAATGATTATAATAAAAACAATAGAGATGTAAGCAAAAAGGAAAAAAAGCAAAACAGCGAATATGTCGAAAAAAGTTAATAATTTTTGGGCATTTTCAGCCATACGTGCTTGATTGGATATGAGCGAATGGAATTGGACAGTAGTAATCGCCGATCTATAGGGAACGTCAAATTGTAATCTATTCGTTATTGTTTTCGAAAACCCTAACACGCTATAGCGCTACGGGTAGTGGACCAGTGCACAAAACATTCTGCTGCCTATTCGACTTGTTTGCTTGCTTTCTTCTTACTAACGAACCTACCGAGGTTTCTTGTAATAATTTGCAAAAAAATTTTAAACCCTTTCACAGTTTACAGATATTGCAGTTTTTTTCTTTCCAAACGCTACACCATTTGGTACCGAATATGAGGGTATATTAAATTCGTACGGATGTATGCAACACTCAAAATAATTTGACGTAAATTCGTTTTTTAATATATACCAATACCCAACCAGTTCGATTCGAACTATTTTCCAGAGCGTTCGTACATGTCGGTGTATCAAATTTTACCGAAACATCTCAACAAACATCTCTTTAGGTTGAACTCGAGAAAGTAAGACGGACAGACAGGCAAACAAATAGCCAAGCTTAGATTGATGCAAAAAGTGGTTCTAAATCAATATAATAAAAGGTGGGGTCTATCTCAAGTCCTTCTGGGCATTGTATATATTCGCACAAACTTAATATACCCTTGTACCGCAAGTGGTGTAGGGTGTAAAAATCGTTATACTCCTTCGCCCGATTTCTAGCAAAATGGATTGGACGGAATAATTTTCACGATTATAAAGCCATACTGCGAAGGAATCGTTGCATAGTGGTATAAGGCATTTATTAGGTGCTTCCGTTAATCTTGTTCAGCAACTTCTACAGGTAAGTACGAAAATGTAATGCAAAATACCAGTGTCCGTAACGTCTATATTCGAAAATTTTGACCTTTCCCTTCAAAAAACAACAAATTTCGATTTACTGTTATTTAGATACACTCAGCGTATGCAGATGGTAATCGCATAGAACGCCTCGAAATTGCATTTTGGACATTTATTCCTTATTAATCCTTTTTAGAAGAATTGAAGCGCATCAAACACTTTTAGATGCTTATGGTGACACTGCTCCATCGTCCACAAACGATGCGATTTAATGGAAAATACCTGAAATTTGAGCACTTGTTGCAAGAATTGTCAGGGATACATTGCTGCAGTTCGAATAGAAAGTTCTGCCGCGCCCAGCGTACGCACCAAACATAGCGCCTTCTGATTACCACTTTTTCACACAGACGTAGCATATCTTGGCTGGAAATCGGCTCCGCAAAGTTAAAGAATTGTGAAAGCGGGTCGTCGATTGGACCGCTGCCAAGACAATAGAAGTTCTTTCGAAAAGCTATCGCGTTATTGTGAAATGTTGTAGGAAATTATGGAAAATATGATGAAGCATCTATTAGTAAACGACTTTGCCGCCTCATCTTCTTTTAATTTGATCTGTCGTCCTATGCTATGAACGTCGCCTTTCAATTTTTTTTTTTCCCCCCAAAAATCGAACAAACATCATTGAAAAGACCCAGACTCTGAGACATATTTGTTAGAAAAGCATACAATGTTTTCAAGCACTTCAATGAATTGATTTACTACACTAGCATTAATTTGGCTAAACGAAAAGCAATTTTTATATTTATTGCATGTATTTATTTACATAGTGCACACTCAAATTGATATTGCGATCGATTTACATTTAGTGAAATCTTAACCTTTAAACCGCAATTCTTAAAGATGTACATTCGGTTTATTGATTGCTACAAATTGCAAGCATAGCGCAGAGGGTAAAAGCTAATCGCTAATAAATGCAAATAAATTTCGTTGAATTATAATTAATTTGATCGTTTTAATTAATTATCTATTCACTTAGACGTTAGACCTTTTATTAAATAAGTGACTCAAGATCGTTTATTTGCCAATTTTTCGATAAATTCGCTAACGTCCTACTTACTTGAAATGTCGGGCGTCGGTTATCGCTTATCATGCTTAGGCCTTCATGGTAGGAACCCAGGCAAAACGATATGAGGAATCTGTACTCTATATCTATATCTATAGTACGATCTTAATATTTTGAACAGGAAAACAAACTTCATTTCACGTACTTTTTTTTTCGAGAGCGTCTACCTTTTTACGAGGCTTAGTTGCAAATAAAGATTAAAAGTAATAACCACTAGTAAATTGAAGGCGAATAATTTGCCATTGGATTGAGAATACGAGGAGTGTTCCGTAGAGAGTGTTCCAAACAAGACAGCTCTTAAGATCTATGTTGGTATTCCCGCTCGTATAATACAGAATTTCGTGTTCAATCTGTTTAAAGCTAAGAAAGCTAAGGCTTGCAAAGTTTCCAATCGAGCTACTTTTCTATTTAAAGATTTGTAGCCAGCAGTACGCACTGCAAAAACGGACCACGGATATAATTTCGAACGTTGTCTATAACTATAAGCAACCATACGCATGACCGTTCTCGGGCTGACTCGAATACTTTAAGGGCAGGGATATTGCAGAGAGTTAAACCCAGTATTCATCAACCATTCGCTGATGACTGTTTAATTTCTTTAACGCTTAGAACCTATTTGCAAAATATCCAAACAAATTTCTTTCCTGCTGCAAAAACCGACCATAGATATAATTGTTGAAAGTTATCTTTAGCTATAAATAGGACCATTCTCGGGCTGACTCGATTAGTTTCAGGTTATGGATATTGCACCAACTATTCGTTGATGACTGTAAAGACATCTTTATAAAAGTCTCACATTTTTTTCCCACATTTAGGTATATGTATAAAGGAGGCTATCGAAAATCTTTAGTTCCGGCATTTATTGAATTTGAAACGTAACAAATGAAATGCATTCTGTAATCAGTTGTTCTTAATTGTAATTCAAATAGTTTAGACAAATGTCAAAAACAACTGCTCCTTTTTCCATAAGTCAGACCTACTTTGTATTGAAAATAATCAGATTTGTAGTAAGCAATGCAATGTCAAATTTAAAAAAAAAAAAAAAAAAAAAAAAAAAAACAAGAGAATGAAAATAATAGCAGGCAATTTATTTGCAAGGCGCATGCGCGTGCTTGCCTAGCCGGAAATCTCTTTGCAAGCAAATTCTCCTATCAATTATGTCATATTTTTCCCAGCAGCACGTATACACTTAAAAACACTCGAAAACGTATCAATTTTCATACGATAACCAAATATAATCAAAGCAGCTTCAAATTGACTTTCAATGTCCATTTAAAAAAAAATATGATTCAATTTTTCCACAGCACCATAATTTGGTGTAGCATAAAAGGTATTCATCGCAATGTGATACCAATGGGTCCTTCCATTTATTAATAACCATATATGTTTATCAACGAGCCAACAGAGACTTTACACTTAAAGCCCAATGTCGCGATAAGCGCGCTACGCTTCTGGCTATTTAGGTCCAACTAATTTCGTTGTTGACATCAGAAATGGGACGACAGAGATATATCCATCGGAAAGGCGTTCAAATGAAACATGTAGGTAAATTCATGTATGCAGTATGCTAACATTTCTTTCGACTTTTAATTTTAATTTCAGTTTTGAAAAGTCACAATAGAAGACTGCTGGACATATCTAAATCGCCTTCGGACATGCACACATATATAACACAAGTAGAGGCAAATCTTACAATTTCCAGTAGTAGTTAGGAAAAATTAATATTTCCTGATGGTGATAACTTTTAAAATAGTTTAAAAACATGCGAACAGTTATCTGTATGCGTTATTAGTTTTTATCTTTGGCATCAAAAAAAAAAAAAAACAGACGGGGGTGCGTTGACTTTATTTGCACGTAGCCGCAGTCTACTTGGTAAGATATGAACAAACTTTCCTGACCACAAGGGATTTCGTAATGAAGTTTCTGAAACCATTAAATTTTGTCACAACTGAGTCGAAACTCGTTCCTATCAGCTTTATTAGAAAAGGCGGAAAGAGGTTGACGCAGATGAAAGACTAAATAGATGAACGAACAGATAGACGTAGAGAGCTAAGTCTATTCACAATTTTATGCTGGTTAAGGATATGTTGGCTTTATTGGTCTTACGGCGAAACCACATATCTAGCATACTTTTACTCTGTGATGACGAGCATAGAATTTGATAAAGGATATAACAATTCGTAAAAGTTTAAAAGAAATTATACTTTGAATTAGCCGTATTGGAATTACAAAGAAGGCTGGTCTTTGCTTTCTTTTCTTTTTTTTTTTTGAATGCATGTTTTCTTTAGACGAATACATATGAGACAAAGTCCTGTCCATCATAAACTTGTTTTGCAATACTGTTATTCAATAGTACAACATAGTTGAAAAAATATTTAAAATTGCGGAACTTTTCATATACATATAAATGCATTTTATGGAGTACGAAACAATTGAAACGTTGCCTCGTCTCCGTGTATTCCCATCATTCTCTTTGTTCTCAGTTAAAGTAGCAGGGTTTTTTTCTGTTTTTTTTTTCAGATAAGACAATAAGAATATAAAGTAAGTATATGCAGAATTATCATATAATTAATTAATATTATCGTAGCAATCGTTTTTATGTTCATGAGATTCAATTGTATATAAGTTTGATAGTAATGACGACACTTTATGAATATACGATAAATACGATAAAATTTTTGAGAGAAATTTATTATTTCTTTTTTTCACATACAAACACTTAATACACATACTTTATGCGTATGTATGTATGCTTCTTCTATTTCTTATTTTTTGGTGAGTCTTTTTTGCTATACAAAAAAAAAAAAAAAAAATTTTTTTTTTATTTTTTCAGCACAAATAAACTTTACACTGTCGGGTTTTTTTGCTATACAACCCAATAAATGTTTTTTTATCAAGACCAAGCACCAGCGGCAACAAAAATTTGTACGAAGATTATTCACTTTAAATTTATTTAAAAAAAGATATATACAGGAAAAGGTGTCTATGTATTTTTTTTTGTTTTTTGCTTTATTATTTGACACTATAATTTATGTTTCTTAGGCGTTTTTTTTTTTTTTTATTTCTTTTTAACTATTGCATTATGCCACGTTTGAATTAAGTTAGAATTAATTTAAGTTCTGTTCATTATTATAGATACTTTGTTGTTGTATTTATGTTCTCTATATGAGTAGTATATTACGGTTTATCCGCGACTTCTTTTCGTGTTTTTCAGGAGCAAAAGCAAAATTAAACTAAACGATATGCAAACAACAAGAGAATATCAAACCTGTAAATATTAGTCAGCTAAGCTGTATGCGAATTCTCACTTATACGAACGCAAGAGTAAAAAAGCTTGCACGTGCATACATTCATTGCCTTTTTACTTCAAAATCATGGAAGTATAATATTAATCGGCTAATAAGTTCCAGATGCAAATTGCTACACACAATATCGAAAGCATTACTCCGACTTGAAATAATGTATTTCAAAATAAAAAAAAATATATATGTACTTTAAACGCATATATACATACATAGGTAACGCGAATGTACAAATTATGTTGAAAACAGAAGTTCAAGTCTCTGCATGGTCTCTGAATGGCTATCTTATGAAATTATAAGGACCTGTATACTTTTTTAATTCTTATTTGCAGTAATCTCTCAAATATTCGATATGTTACTTTGATCCAGATAAAAGTTCTCAACATCCCTAATAAACATATGGTAGTACGCAACGTAAGTTTTAAGCCGAAGCCCTTGAGGCTCTTCATGCTCTATCATATCTCTTTCGAATAGAATTTCAGAATATATATAAAATAATAACATTCTTTTGGCATGAATATCGTAATAATAAGTAACGCCAGAAATATTCATATATAATCTGTCCTGTTTTTTTTGTTTTTTTAGATTATATTAAGTAATAAGCATAAAATTTTACTACACTTGTAACGCAGAGCACGTACTCCTCTTTTCAGGTTCTCAGCAAGTTTTAAATATTTGTTTAAATTTACGGTACGATACCAGGTACATATATGTACGTATTTTGTAATAAAAAAAAAAAAGAGAAAATGAAGAGAACTTGTTAAGCAGCATATTTTTTTTTTATTATATATGAGAAAGTAAATTTCTCTTTTAATCCTTACCTTTTTTTTCTTATAACAAAACAAGAGAAAATGACAGTCAGTTCAGAGTAAATGAAAAAAACTTATGTTTAGTTCGAAAGGAAAACTCTCTCTTAACAGAAAAAAAAAAGCCTGTTCTATCCCTACCATTGCATCATCATCCAACGATCAATGGAGTTACATTAAACGTATTATTCTATTTGTACGCAGCCTCTAGGAAAATTTATATAAGAAAACGATATGTTTGTTAATAAATCAGATGAAAGAGAAACAATCAAGACATTGTACGATAAAAAAATTAAATAAATGTTTTATACCTATTTTCCATAAGATTAAAAAGTATAAATATATATAATTGATTAATTTTCTTAACCTTCAAGAAGAACAAATAATATTCATAAGAATCACAAAACACGCACTCTACTTACACTGATAGTTATGAAAAAACTTTGGATCGTTTAACCTACTTGTTGGCATAACTAAAAAAATTTATGAAATCAATGCCTTTTTCAAGGTTGAAATAACGTTAGTTACACATCTATCTATAAACCAAATAATCAGTTTACGAAATTTTCTACTCAATGGAATTTCAAAAGGTTTTAACGCACCATACATGTAAACGTTTAAAAGTTTAAACATACAATGCGACTTGTACGTGTTATGAGCGTAGACACCTCAGTATGTATCAAAGAGAAGCAATCAAAACATATTTATATGCGTAAGAATACAAAGCATTCAACTTTTTCTTATATGCAGATATTTAACATTATTTTTTTAATTATTATTATTATTATAAATATATTTCTGCAACGCTCACAATCGTATTTGTTATATAGTTTAACAAAAATATAAAAATAAAATCATACATGGCTTTAAGATAATTTAAGCCATTAACTTTGATAAGTTTGCTCATCATCTTACACTTTACAATACTATTTCCATAGAAAATTCCAATGTGTTGCTTGACAAGCTTAATGAAAAAACAGTTTGTATTATCGGATGTTTGCAGATTAAGACTTAAGACAATGAATAGTTTTCCAAAATGACCTGCTAACGTTATACGATATAAACTTTCCGTTCAACTTTATACCAAGTTATTTAAAATCGTTGGGTTAAGATTTTTGCATTGAATATAAAAGAGAATGCGTTCCGTCTCCACTTCTAGTTAAGTTAAGTTAATTACACGAGAAGCAAAAAATAGTAGCAATGCCTTTGCACTGTATATATCCTCTACACTATTCATATCAAGCATATATGTATAAGTTTGTTCGTATGTATGCAACATCTAGAATGAATTGAAGTAGACTCACCTTTCATTTCAATCAATTGAGATTCGAAATCATTCACATCACATGAGTCAATTTTGACATGTCGATCCGTCTGCCGCGCTATCGATTCTTGGCACAATTTCCAAATATTTTAATGAATATTTGATAAACTTATATGTTTTGGTTTTAGAATGAAAATTCTTAACAAAGCGATCACCTAATTTCCACCAATGTCCTTGAATAGCGATTCGCTATATAAATTCATTGTAGTGTGCTTAGTGTAGTCTGGCTTGTGGACTGCATAGATCTATATTTCATGAAAAGTAAGCTTTCACGCAGCAAAAAGCTTTAATTTTTAAATCAGGCCAAATCGCGTAAGGTATTTATTAATGGATCTAGTTCGACTATAGCATTTCTCACTTTTAAATTTGTAGTTTGTCTTCTAAGTGATTTCAGTTTTCTATAATTCTAATAAACTTGCGACCTTGAAATCTAAGGTAGTTAACATTTGATAGCCTTTTCTTTTTTTTTTTTTTTTAGTACAATCGAGTGACAAAAGTCATGCGTCTCCGTCCTTTGCTGGTGAGTATTCTATTTCTGGTTTCATTTTTTATTTTGGATTTTCGTTTTTTTTTCTTTTTTTTTTTCTTTTAATTGCTTTTATAAATGAAGCGCACTAAAGATTCAGCCCAAGGCGGATATTAACCCTCTCTTGTTTTATGATACTAGTAGTTTTTTGTTTTTGTTTTGCGGTAATGCACGTACTAGCGTCGTTATTTATTTATTTGTTGATCATGTTTTTGTTTGTTTTTTGTTAATTAAAATTAATTCAAGGTCATATTAAAGGTAGTTAATAATTTTGTCGTAATTAATTAAGCGCTAACAATATGCAGCAAATATTAATGCAGGTGGATGTTTATATGCATCTATCCATCCACAGTGCGCACACTCGCAAGGCCTCAGTTATCAATCATATACGCGGCACGTATTAATGCCGTACAAAAAGAAGTCATTATGGTAATATAATTTCAAAATATGTAAACTGTGATAGAAAAAATGCTCAAAAATATTTTTTAAGTACAACCTTACGATTGTCGAAATACACGCTAAAATTACTAAACCTCTAAACTCTCGATATGATTAGTTTAACTGAACGTTATTACAGTTAAATATATGTATGAATTATTGTTACGTATATTCACTGTTAGATCCATTTTATCAAGGGACCTGTAAAACACATGTTTCGTACCTGTTATATGTGATCCAATCATAATCAATGTTCCTGTTAGCCACGAACGAATTCGTTTGGTGGACTCGTCTGTGGGAAAGGAAATTCACAGGAAATTCTTTATGTAAACGGAGGAACAGCATATAGAGAGAGCAAATTCATCATTTCATCTCTCCTGAGCGATATCAGAAGCGTTTTTTGTTATGCAGCAGAAATATTTCTTGTCGTTCGCATGACATGAAGGATAAAATTATAAATTTCAAACGCTACGTAAATCTTCTCAATCAATTGAAAATGAATGTGAAAGAATGGGCAGCAGTTACAAGGGAAAAGATTACTCATCGAACGCAGCTACTTGAATATTCCGCAACTCACTCATTCGCTCACAATTATGTTTAGCCCTGAAATTAAACGAAAAAACAACAATTATAATGTATACAAAATTTTACAAAATATCCATCATGCATAGATCGTAGGTTTTAGTCGAAAGACTTTATTCAAGCATGTAAAGCCAGAATATTTATATTTTATACACGTTTAGCCATTATATTAGCCTTAACCCGCGTTGCGAATGAGACCAATATCAATTATCTGCTTGATTTGGTTTTATGCAATTCGTGGGCCTGTTGTTTTCATCACCTTCTTTAATCCATAATACAATACAATAACACAATAACACAATATATATGCAGAAATCAACCAATACACTACCAATGTGAATATGTAGTATGAAGAAAAAATACAATTGTTTTATATTATTGCATTCAGCTATGGCTGAATATTAAAAACAAACTCAACAAGATCTTTACTCAAATTTTTTATCTTTCAAATATTCACAAAAGTATTGAATAAGTTTCGTTGACGAACAGGATATTGAGAAGTCAACAACGGACAAGTAATAAAAACTTTATAAATACAAATAAAATGTTAACACCGTACTGTTAACGCGTAAAAACAGGGATGCTTTCAAAAATACAATATTAACAGGGGGGTCCATATATATGTTAAATAACATGTGTAACATGTTAGCATTAATCATTGTTTTTTGATTTCGTGAGATATCAATTTTCAGTTTTCATGCAAAATTATGATATTCATCACCTCAATCCCATTTATTATTCAGAGTATTTTTTAAAAGTTCGACAAGATTGCGACCATTTTTTGCATTGATCTTTCCGTGGTCGTAGAAAATGTATTTTGGGCGCATGCCATACCAATCCAAGTCCTTGAAGAAATTCTTAAGAAAATTCTCACTTAAGATTAGGCTTTGTGCTTTAAGCTTCTATAGCAAAAAAAAAAACAAAAAAAAAACAAAGTTAAACAATATCCATTATGTTCAACCCAAGTTCAAAGTTAAAAAAACTCTTTTGATAAAAAATGCCTATATTAGCACGAAATATTGTGGTCCGATAACATTTTTTTTGTATTCAGTTTTCTGATTATTTTATTCTTTATTTTAGTTCATAAAGAAAGTCAACGAAGTTTACAAAAACAATACTCGTCTTATTTTGTTTCTAAATGTGTATATATAAATACATATACATATTTATGTGTTTATATAAAAATAAGTGTACATAGGTATACTTTTATAAAAAAGGCTGCCGTAAGTGTATCATATGCATATATATATATATATATATCAACAACGTAAATATGATGCACTTCGGCCACTTTTTTCCCCGTAAATTATTTATAGCTTTTTCTTTTATCTGCTTTAATGTATACTTTTAGAATAATATTAAATTTTTAATTATCGCCTTGAATATCCGTCACCTAGTGCTAAGCACATTTTGGATATAAATTTAATATACTCTGTCTGTGCATCCTATGAACCGATGTTTGTTTGTACCGTAAATGAATTCGTATATATAAACTTTACATAATGAAATCAAAGAGGATCAGAATATATATATATATATATATAAAATATCAAACTACTCGAATGAAATGCTTTGAAAAATTCAATCCCGCTACGTCGATTATGAAACCATTGTGATTGTGATAAAAGAAGACTTTTTCCCATTTCACCTAAGCCAATTGATCTCTCTGTCTCTCTTCTAGAGTATATATGGTCGGTCCCTCGTTTCCACAAGTCATACTTAAAATTAAGAAATTGTGCGTAATGATGTTTGTTAAAAATGGATAAAAATTTGCATAACAATTAAAATTATAACGAAAAAAAAAAACATAAAAAATAATAATAATAAGCAAATAAATAATAATTATATGATGATTATAACATGAATGATCAGCAAATTTCACGCTAAACATTTACAAGGCACCCGGTAATAAATACTTTTCATATGTCATTCAACTTGCAAGTGTATCCGCTGTCGTCATTCATTGAAATTATGATTCAAAATAAATTAAAATTTACATTTTTTTTTTTTTGTTTAACCTCTTTTCTCTTCACAAAAGCCTAAATATACTCGATTGGAAATAATTCTCGATTATATTACGTATATACTTAAGAAAATAATATTTATACATAATGATAGTTGAACAAAATAGAATAAAAAATATTAAAATTCCTAAATGTAACCACACTAACTAACTAACTAACTAGAGTGGTACGTTTTCATATAAATATATACATCTGTTTTATTTTAGTTTAATCCATTCGGGAAATCTCTCGAATATATATGGATGAAAAAATTATATGAAAGATAAAAAATAGATAAATTGACAATTAATTATTTGCATTCATAATTTTACAATTTCGATATTCTGTCGCGATAAATTATTTGTTAAGCATTCGTTTTATGTTCTTTTTTCAATCGTTAAAATTATTGAATCAATCAATCAATAGTAAAGAAAATTGTAAAGTGAATTTCAATACTATTGTTAATCCTTTTTTTACGATTTTATGATGCTCTTACCAATGTGGACAGACAAATGAGTAGTGTCTTATTTTTGTTGTTGTGTCGCCTGTTGAAAGTGTGTTGTTTTTACGAATAACATAAGCCTGAGTTAAGAGAGTGGTGGCAACAAATATACAAATATATTGTAAATACAAAAAAAAAAAAATATATATATATATATATATATATAGAACTTAAATTTATGCGCTTATTTGACTTTTCTCTGGTGAAGACTAGAGGTGTTAGTGTCTGAATTCAGGATCGCTTCATTGGTGGATAAAATGTGACCATTAGTAAAACCATTCTTATAAATGCCATTACTCCTTGTTTTATAATCGTCAAGGTCCGCGCTACCATCATTTTCATCATCTACAACCGGCTGAAATGAGAAACGAAAACACATAAGTATTTGAATAAAAGGCTTATACAATTCGTTGCTTGCCCTGATAAAAAAGAATATGTCAGTATTCTGTCCAGAAAGTTTTTAAGTTTTATTTAATGAGCAAGGTTTACCACGAACCGCAAAATGCTTTAAATCACAATAACAAATTGAATGAAGAAACTCAAGCAGTTCTCGCTGCAAACGACATCTAGATTATGCTGTTAATATCGCGAACGATCGGGTCAAGATATCAATTATGCAATAAAACATTTTTAATTAGTGTATGGTATAACATAACAAGTCCTACATTCGTGACTTCTGGAGTCCAGAACACGAGGAGTAAACGTAGAGGAAAACCAGTAAGAATATTACATTCGACTGTGACTGTGAATCTGTTATGTCCACCATCTTAGCCTAAAAATTACTAAAAAAACAACAAAACAACTACATTTCCTTGCTCTTTAATAATGGATGGGCATGGTTGTTTTTTTTTTCTTCATTTTTGTGGATGCACTTTATGAGTAATGAATAAAAAAAGGCGGTAGGTGTGCCTTTACACCAGTTTGTTTCATTTTCAACAGGTGTGCAAATTTCAATGCTTTTGAGGACAGAAGAATAATTACCAAAGTCATTGTACAAATTCGCAAACGGATAGATAGATGGATGGATATGCTTAAGTGGATTCCGAATTTGACACTAGCAAAAAATGCATAGAATTTATGAGATCTCTAAAGCTAAAGATAAGCTGAGCCGTGCTGAGCAAATATTTGATAAACATACCATACAAGCTCCTTTATTGCTGTGCCCATTAGTGTAAATTTCTCCATTAATTGGGCAGTTCTTGTAATTCGTGCCGTTTCGTTCAATATGACTCTTATTCGCTTGAATTCCTTTAGTGTACTTTGCTTTATAGAAATCGGAAAATAAGAGCAGGAACATAACGCCGTGCAATCCAATGTAAATCATAAAACCGCGAGGATAATCACATTCGTGGAACAACAATTGAAATTGATGTGTGAATATAGCAACAAATTGAACCTGTTTTAATGGGAAAAAAGTAAATATTAAAGCAGCAGCACACACGACACAACAATGTATGATAGTAATCAGGACTTACCATTTGAAATGTAGTTAAATATTTTTTCCACCAAATATATTTTTGATATTTAGGTCCCATGGCAGAAATCATATAATAAAAATACATGACCACATGTACAAATGTATTTAATAATGCAAAAAATGTGCTATGTCCACCTATAATAAACAAGTCAATCCTCTTTAAATGTTAAAGTTATCCCGAATAATATTAATAATTGCGATTATATTTATTACCTGGGGCATATTTCATTCCCATCCATACTGAGAAAGGCATACAACCGTGATGTATAACATGCAGTGTTGAAACATGTTCATTTTTTTTACGCAAAATAAAAAATAATGTATCGAAAAATTCTGTAAATTTTGATACGTAATACCACCAGCAAGTACGAGCCATCTGCAATTATATAAAATTAAAATGAAGATATTTTGAGCAACCAATATTAGTCTGATGAGTAAAATTTGGCTTTCTTTTCGGAAATTTTCATTTGCCAATCTTTCTTGTTCTCCGGAACTCGTCATTATCACTTGTGTAAACTAAATCACGATTTTATTCGGTTTTGAACAAAAGTCTGATTAAAAGTTTAGGATGCTAAAATATGCATTATATAAGTAAAATTAGATTTTATTATTAATGGGTGGTAATGGGTTAATGGATAAAGTCTGTGAAAGACATGTTTTCTCCGCAATTATCAGGAGATCTCGGCAAACAAGGGATTTTTAATAGACATTAGACATTAGTCTATAATTACTAGCCCTTCCTAATGCAAAATTTGCGACTTGTGCTTGCACAAATGGCGGCAAAGACCGGATTGACGTCACATAAATATAATGCGTTTTTGCAAAGGGAAGAAAATGATGCTTCATCAACTGTGTGTATGATTGAGTTCACTTTCTACAATCAAGACCTAATGTGATTGAAGCAATTGACGTAAAGCAGCAGCACATTTTTAATGATTCTGATCAAGTTAGGAGAGTTTGTATAAAAAGCCATGGCCGTGCCCTGTCTAGCAATAAATTATATCGCTCTCAATGATGTAAACTTTACTTTAAACGTTGTTTGTGATTTTCACCAAGAAATCCCAATAGTTCTAGAGAGGCGTGAAAGCGCTTTTCCAAAAACAAAAACGGCAACAATTTATCGATCAAACTGACATAGAATTGATTTAAAGCATTTACTTGTATGAATATTAAGTACTTACCCTTAAGGCTAAAGGATTGTTACTATAATCAACAGGTTGACATGTGAAATTGTAATGACCCCACCAGCCGCTCATTAAATACTAAAAACAAAAAAAACAAAAAAAATAAGAATGAGAAACAAGGATCACTTTTGTCTTATGCACTACTCACCACTACCCAAAAAAGAAAAAAAAAGAAAAAAAAAAATTAACACCTCATTCCATTTATACCTATTTGAAGCTAATATGCCATCGGGCACCTTGTCGATTCTTTCGGACAACATGATACAAGTATTATACCAGCAGAGTCCCCGATTTTAAAATTACTTTTTAAAACACCTTGCCAAAGAATCTGACCCTAAGCATAGTTGACTGTTTAAGTATTCTTTTTATAATTGACTAACGGTAATGGTAAGTTATGCATTTTTGAAATATTGTACAATTAAAAGTGCATTAAACACAAACCTCATAGAACATCCAAGCGCTGAAAAGTGTCTGACATAAGTTGTAATAGATCAGAAGTTTTCTTAAATCGAATGCTTTACGATTTCTCATTAACTTTGGTCCTAATGACTTACTAAAATAGGCGTAAAGGATGCATAAAGCAAGTGTTGGCGCCGGTGAGGACATCATCGGCCAATCCTTAACTCGCGGATCTAGAAAATGAGAAAAAACAAATAAATTAATTTAAAATAATAAAAGCAAAAAGAGCACACTTTTTAAATAGCTACGTGTGTTTGTGCTTTTTCAATTAAGAGATTTTTTTGTCACGCATTTTTTCTTTTGTTAAATCACGTTTTCAAAAATTCTTCCTCCTCCTTCCTCCTTTAATGTGGTCCTCTTTTGTTGGTAAAATTCCCCTTGAAACTTCCTTTTCAAGCTAAAATGTATTCCGGATTCTGCACTTTAATGAGACAATTCATTCTGAATTTTGCGTAGAGTTCAGAATATATTCAGACGGTACACAAAACAAAACGATATAATGGATAATAATTTTTGATTAACCATCGAAAATGCGTCGATCACTTCACCGATATACTCGCCAAGCACGGAGCGTAATATGAAATTGGGTTGTAATGAAACAACTTGACAAAGTGACGAAAATATTTCCTAAAATACATTGTTATGACGAATACAAACGTCCTTTATAAAGAAATCTTACAAGGATTGATTAACGGATCGTAATATATATATAGTCATGTCATACAAAAGATCAGTTAACTACTTAAGGAGGATTATTTTAATGCTTTGTCTAAAAGTTTTTTAGTTTCTAGCCCAGGCTCATATGAAATCTAAGCTCTCCCTACTCTCTATCTCTTCGAACCGAAGTTCATCTTATTTGAAGAAGCGTGGATCTGTAAAAGCAGGCATAAAACGATGATTAAATACAATCCTGTCTGCCTTAATGGATCATTGCTTGGTTTTCTCCCAGTAACAATTGTATTGAAGGTATATAAGTGTTTCTCATTAACCATAAATAATATAGAGTTTATCATAGCACGATTATATAGCATGCTCGTCTAAACGTCGTCCACCATCTATTCATATATTTTTCCGACAAAATTAGCAATGAACGCGAAAAATGTTCTTTGAATCAAATGCACCGATCATCAGTTTTAAAAAAGCCCATATATATGCGTCCTATTTACTGGGTATCTAATGGCCGCTTAATTATCTCTAATGTTATATGACAAATGATAACACACTTTAGACGGAATTCGTTTATCGAAGATGTTATATATATATATAGAAAATATTTTACGATTATTGGCCAATGTGATATGTTCAATCCGCGGCCTTATCACAATAGTATTTTTACTTTCGTTACTTAAGGGAAAACTTCACATAGCATGAAGACAAATTAGTTTCAACATTCTTAACAAATCGAAATCGAAATCGATATATTTTGCATTTAGCATATATATATATGTACTCACCACTTCTCTTGTCCATTAGGTCTGTATACCAAAGATGAATATCATTTAATAGTAGTCTCGCCATTATTTTAATATTTAAAATTTTTATATCTGAAAAACAAATGAAAAAAAAATAAAAAATAAAAAAGAAAAGAACAATTTAAAAAGGAAAGAATAATTAATATAGAAAACAAAATGACAATTTCGTTGGAGAATGAAACTCAACTAAAATGAAAAATTCTTCAGTTTTCCGTTATAAAGGAATTCATTCATTCAACGTAAAACTCTAAAAAAGCTTATCCCACTTATATACATTTATCTAATTATTATCTCTAAGCATTTAAGCTATGTATACGTAAAACTATTATATTTAAATATAGAAAAAATAATTTAAATATAATAAAAAAAAAATAAAAAAAAGCGGAAAGAATTTGTTTTTCACCCGCTTATTAACGCAATCATTAATTAACAGTCGTTGTGTGAATGCGTAAAAAATCAATGTGAATATATATATATATATATATATATATATATATATATATATTATTTACAAGCATTTCATCAAATATTATGATAAGAAAGAGAGATAGACATATTTACTAAATAATAATAAATTACTGCATAACTTATATTATACGAATATGAAGGTGAGACACTCTTTTGTATTCCATAACATTTTTTTTTTTTTTTTATTCACATGAAAAAATACTTTCACGAAACTTTTGCAAACTTTCAAAATCCCCGAATTAGATCATGAATGATGAATGAAAAATGAATATGCTATTAATTAATTAATAAATTATTCATTCATAGGCTCGTTCAGACGCGACGAACTAATTAAATGCATTACTAATTACATTTGCAAATCTTCTAATCTTCAATCTATAAATCAATCATATTTAAGGTCAATCATAATGGGAAAGGCGAAAGAATCCTTACTTCTTCTTTATTTTCTCGTAAGTAAGAAAATAATAAAAAAAAATGTCTTCAAAAAAATATTAAGCTCAAAATTGTGTAGCATTCTTTACTTATACGAAAACGCCTTCAACTATCTGCAATTAATTTATTTTTTCCTATTTACTCCAGTTTTCGAAATAACGATGATGTTTACCTACTGCTACCGAAAGGCAGGTAAAGACTTTCTCCAATCAATTAAGAATTCATTGTTAAAAATATTGATTGCGATCTGCCTACATACACGCCCCCAATGAATAATAAACTGAAATTACTTTGGAAAAGAATTTTGTGCTTTTTGGGCATATCTTTATCTATAGCTATTGATCATGTCAAGATCAATAGTCGGAAAATCTGCCTATTTAAACCAAATGATTAATGATTCCGATCGGTTTACTGATATATCCACAATTAACGGTAAGAACTTAATTTCAATTTATTAAAGATGAAAATATGAAAAATTTTGTCGGCGGTTTTTCGAAATTGTTTCAGTTGCTATTGCATTGGAAAGGTGTGCATAGGGACAAATCGCAACTACTTTGTCAATGAATGTTTGTGCTGATTATTTCCATTTTTGCGACTGTGGCAATTTCATCAAAAGAACGGATCAAAATGATTCTTTTTGGTAGAGAAGTAGTTATATGCAAAATCGCGGTAGTGTTAGTGTTACATACACATATCAAAAAGCTTTATAACAAATTGCATTTTCTGCCCCACCACTGAAGACATTTCTTATTCTGCCAGATACACCTTAGAGTTCATAGCAAATTAACATATTTTTGATTACTTCCGAGCCGATTGGATGTCCCTCCATCCGGTGACTCTCAGTTGCAGATACTTTGAGGGTCATGAAACCAAATTCAATAAAGCCTGAAAATGGACATCATCTGTCTCAAGTGAGAGATGGAGAGATAGGAAAATTCATAAAATCAAATAAAAATCAAATTTAGTACGCAGTTGAATCTGTTCTTGTGCGGTGTGCTTGTTTTTAGTGCAGTTTTTACTTCTGCATGCATGAATATGTATAGGGGTAGCGGGAGAGAGGAATATTTAAGTTTTGAATCACGACAGATGTTGTTCGAGTTATGGGCGTTATGGAAATAACTCCGCGAGATTAATTAATCCTTTATTGCATTTGGAAAGAATTTTCTCGTTATTTCGTAAAATTTGAACATTTTATTTTTGGGGGAGATTTTTTTTGTGCCGGCGTTCTCCACCGCATAAAATCATTTTTCTTTAATATTGTTGTTGTAGATATATATAAAGGTTTCTCAGTTTCCTTTTTTTTTTTTGCATTTTTTCCCGTGCAAAGGTTTATCCGTAAATATTTTGTGATACTATCGAAAAGTTTGTTTCCAAGACAATCCTCTCAAGCCGCAACACGCACTCCCTTGATAGAACTTTAGGTTTACAAGTTTTTTATCTAACTTTCTAGCTAATAATTTATAGTTTTTTTGCAAATTTTCCTTCATTTAAGTCATATATATATAAATACAAACATTGATGTATATATATATATATATATATATTAATGTATATATATATATTCGCTCTTGATAAGAACTAGACGACTTCCAGGTGTTTTAAACCCATTAAACGCATTCCCAAAGCAATATGAAGCATTAACAAGTAATAAATATTAATTGTTTCTTACTTAATTATATCAAAAATAATAACAATCGAAATAAGACTCATAAACTATATCAACAAAGTTGTGCGAAAAATAATATCCGTTTCATATACTACTTAGATGTTATATATTAATTATCTAGTTTAAGAAAGCCGTAAACCAAAATTTGAGCGTAGCGACGAAAGACAAATCGATGAAAAATGCCATTGATAAGGACAAATTTGAAAGTTAGGCAGTCGTCATGTGTACACAAAATTCCTTTTCAGCAACACTATCAATATCACAACAGATCTTTCGTTAGATGATTATTACTTTTGTAACGCGTTATCTACCGCCTACTTTTAGTTGAATTTTACGCAACGATCGTGTGCATACAGTTGTGTATGCGGAGAACCGTTAATTTTCATTTTCATATCGGCTCAAATAACTTTACACTCTACACTCGGTCTACACTCGGTCTACAATCGCCCTCAAAACTTGTTGTTAGACGAGGGTCGATTAAAATTCGAGAGATCAATTAAATGTGGAATTTTAAATAGAATGGGCATGTGGTGAATCTAAATTCATAATATATATTCAGAAAAAGGCAATAATTTTCAGAACAATATAACTGAAGTAATGGCAGCATATCGCAATAATTGGTATAATATTTATGTACTGACATGACTTCTACAATAGTGTGCAGAGGAAGAATCTGTGTTAGGTAACGTGAAAATAAAACCATGACCACACCTGCCAACGTAGAACAAAATCAAGTTGAGTGAATATGTATACATTTAAGTTTTACATATATATATATATAATTTTGTAATTATTTCGAACTTGACTCGATACTAGAGCAAGTTTTCGTGCAACCAAAGCCAACTTCAAGCATTTTCGGTAAAAGAAAAAGAGATGAGTGCCTTGTACCAGCTTATCGATTCCATATGGTTGAAGTTTTACTCCGTCGGAATAAACGATAAGTAAAATTCAGTTTTCTTGTATGTGAAAATGCGATCTATATATATATATATAGAGAGAGATATTGAAAAGTTAAAAACCGGCATTACTTTGCCGCGAATCTAAAGTAAAATCACAAGTATGACACATAAATGTCAAATTAATTCGATGTTACTATCTAAAATCATAAATTAATAAAGGTTAAATTAATTAAATATTTTAACTACTACGTGTCTTACAATTGTTTTTACTTATCGCCAACACTTAAGCGTTAAAAGCAAACTCTTTTTTTTCTTTCTTTCAGTGATCTAAGGCAGTGTTTCCTAAACAATGGTCAGCTAATAATTGTGCGATGTACTCATTTATTGCCATTGATAACATGAGATGACTCAACCAAGCATATAAGCATAGCTTTAGCCTAAGATACAAAATATTATTTACGGCATTGTTTGGATTTTCGGGAGTACATTCATTACACACGAAAAGTTGATTTGAATATTTTTTTTATTAAGCAATTGATTGCGGTATGCAGCAGGAATCCCAATAACAACTAAAGAGTTTCCCTAAGAAGATTACATATATACTCTGATATAATATTTAGTCATATTGCTATAGGCGAAGGAAGATATATATTATCATAAATATACACTTACATACATTAAAACTTTAAAAAGAAAAAAAGAAAAAAAAGAAAAAGCAAATACACACAAACGTTCATCTATAATAATAACAAATATTTGTGAAATAGTTGCTAGTAAGGGAATGGCTTACCACAGCACATTGTTGGCATAGTTAAAAGATCAAATTAACAGAAGATTTCCTACGAAGAGAAGATCTTCTTAAGCAGAATTTAGTTAAAAATGCTTTACTAAATGGCCTCGCACTTAATCTCTCTACAAGAGGCAGTAAACAAGAAAATCAATCCAAAATATTCCAAAGGAAAAAATTGTTTATGAAAGAATATTGATCATGAATGGTATTTTTTTTTTTTTTTTTCATTAAACATTAAACAGATTTTTCTATATATATATATATATATTTACACACATATATATATTTGCTATTAATTTGGAGAGCGATGCAGTAGTGATTGTATGCCATTTATCATCTCTTAAGGGATTTGAGAAGCAAAACAAAACATTTTATAATGAATTTCCCATAATGATATCAATGATCAATGCTTCATGACTATATAGATAAGAAATATCGTAAACGATATAGCTTGATGTAAGTCAAGTTGTAAATCTTTTGTGAGTGACCGCCAACAACAACAACAACAACAACAACTTGTAAAATGATCCACAATCAATGTACTTTTAACGATCATAAAAAAAAAGATATCACGCGTAACTTTAATTATTAAAGATAAGTAAAATTCACATTCACATGTTAGTTAACTCTATCTATAGAATAGCGATTTCTGATTGCGGCAACTGAAGCATAATTCATTCGCTTATTCAAGCATTTACTATCAGTGTTTATCGTAATAGCAAAATTTCGCTTTTTCAAATTTATACCGTGGACTTTGTTTAAGCAAGTATGCCTTACTCTAATTTTCATTAAGGAAGATAAGCTAAGATATAAATTGAAATGGAAGCAGCATTCGCGAGATACATTCTCTAATTTCATAAAGCATATATCGGAGGAATAACATTATACTACTTATGCAAGAAATATCAAACAAATATATAAATATATATATATATATATTCGCTTAGGTAAGCATATATTTGCAAACTTAGAGAATGTTCTTTACGATTTTTGAAATGGCAATGAACACAAGCAACGATCGAGAAGCAATCAACGATTGACGATGACCGACCATTCATGAACCATTCCAATGCGTGCGTGTGCACATGCGCATAGGTATGTGTGCATAAATTTCACTTACATAATAAACTTCACTGGTCACAACGAGATCAATCCCAAATAACAACTCAAGTATGCACTTACTTTTTATGCACGCTTTCAACGCGATAATATACAGGGTTTAACTCTCCGATATATATATATATATACACACACCTGCCGCTCTATTGGTAACAACGGCAGAGGCTATGGACATTAATAACAAATAAGCACAATATTGACAAATAAGCACAATATTATATATATACGTGCTCTCACACGACAAACGCGAACCGCCAATCGTAATTTTAAGGGTATTATGGTCGAATCGTTTTTTAAATGAAAAAAAAAAAAAAAAAAGAATTGTCGTTTTTTTTTTTTTTTTTTCTGAAAACAATTTTAATACTTATTTTTCTTTTGTATCATTTTTTTTTTATTTATTATTATTATTATTATTATGCTGACTTTGTCAAAATGTTGAATTATCCCCCAGTCGACAAACAAAGCAAAATTTGCTTTGAGTAAAAGTTTATTGTTTCACAGTATATTTGTATTTATTTATCGCGTTCCGCTAAAAAAAAAAAAAACCATTTACGTAAATTACTTTCAGTTCCAAGAAATCAATTTTCCTATAATTTATTTATTATAGATTTATAATATATATATAATTTATTATATGTACACATATATAATGCTATATACTATACATTTCTTTATTTGTTTTTTGTTATTTTTTTAAAGGGTTTTCTTTTAACTTTAAACTTTTACACTTTTCTCTCTTTGTAATAAAAGCGTAAAAATTAAATTAAATTTAATTTTCGATTTAATTTTATTAATTATATCGTAAATTTGTTTTCGTTACATTTATTTTTTTGTTTAATCACATACATAACATGCTTATGCGCGCAGTTATAATTTCAAACTAAATGCTGTTTGCGCGTGAAATTTGAACTCAACTTGGATTCTCTCAATATCTTAGTATCCTATCTATATATACATATGGATGCTCACCTACATATATTATGCATATATATATATATATATATGTATATATATATGTATATATAACTTTCTTGTAATTTTTTATTTAATATTATTCATAATAAAAATGTGACGTAACCATTTCATACACACACACACACGCTCTCTCTCTCTCTCTCTCTCTCTCTCTCTCTCTCTCTCTCTCTCTCTCTCTTCCCTCTCTCCATTGCTCCTCTTTTTATCCGATATTAGGCGCTACGCATAGTTAAACATTTCTCAGCGATCTTCACATGGGTGGCATACTCAACTTGTAACTTGTATGAAAAATAAGAGCTATTTTGCTGGATTTTTTTTGATTTGTTTTTTTGTTTTTTTTTTTTTTTGTGACAACCTAAATAATAAGCAGTGATCGCATTATGACCAATTTACGAGGCACTTTCGCTTTCAATTTTTTCGATTTTTCTTTCCTTTTGCCCGTCTCGCTGTCGCTGTCTTTCTCATTTTAAATTTTCTCTTGACTTATTACATGGGTTGTAGCCAACACATGCCTAACCATTAATGTACTTTTTACCTTACCAATAATTTCCTGTTTTCATTACCTGATTGTTTTTGAACGCGATCGCGACAATCGAATATGACTGAATTACTAATTACTGCCTAACTACTGACTGGCTAACCTTTCTTTACAATGTTTTTACATCAATTTTGCATAAGCATAGGGCACTCATCATTGGCACTTGTGCCAATCAAAAGAAAACAATATAAGTAAGTATATGAGATAAGAAAGCAAAGGTGTTAATAATAAAAGAAGAAAAAAAAAGAAAAAAAAAAAGAAGAAAAAAAACCGGGAATCAGTTAGCAAGCAAAACGTTTCGATATAGATTTGAAATTGATATAAAAGAAAAAAACAAGTAAGAAAGTTTTTGTTCGGCGAGATCGAATCTCGCATACCCATCACTATGCTTTTCACATTTTACTCTCCAAGTTCTTTCATTTGTTACCCATAACGCTAATATTATTAAGAAAAAAAAAAAACATTAACCGCAATCTCTGCCATAGTCATTTTAGAATTAACTCATTTTCAAGAAGGTAATAAATATGCACTTGAGGAATGTACAAAATAGTTTTAAACATTCGGTCTTGTTTGTCGTAAGCATAAAAACAGTTGCAAATTTGAGTGGGCATGGCCGATCTTATCCATTTTTTCGCATAAAGAGTACATGGTTTGCACGTAGAGTAAATGAGGTAAAATTTCAATCTTCTAACTTTTATAGTTCCTGAGCAACGAGCAAAAACCCGAGCAAATGTTTATTAAGAAAAACGGAGCTATATGCAGTTTTTATGCTGCCGCTCTGACCCATTTGCCCCATTTTTAATAACGGCCAGCGTGCAAAGACTTCCAATGTCTCTATCAAATTTCAAGTCGATATCTTCATTTTTGCGACCAGGAGAGTGCAAACAACAAACGCCACACAGGCATACACACGGACAGATATGGTTTAATCAATTCAGAATTTCACCTTGATCAAGAATATATATATATACACTTTATAGGGTGTTACCTACATTATGAAAAAAAACAAAGTTAGTAAACTCCCACCTTACAGTGGTGGGTGCAAAAAAAAAAAAAAAAAGAGTATAAAAAATGTTCAGAATACTTATATCATATCGAAATCATACATTTTCTATGAAACCCAATGAATATTAATTTTTTTGTATGAAAACAAAAAAAAAAAATTGTAGCTATGAATGAATGGTACATCGATTCAATGCAACGAGGGGCAGGAAGATTGCAAACTACGGCCAGCAGTAACGCGTCATTAACAACAATTTTGAGATCAAAGTACATAAAAATATCATAGCAGTGACGAGTACTTGTGTGTGTGTGTGTGTGTGTGTGTGTCGTACAAAGTCAAAATATAGCACGCACATCAGCGTAGCCTTAACCTAAAAGCAAGAAGACCAAAAAAACAAAAAAAAAAAAACAAAAATGAACTAGTTTTCCAATCATTTCACAAACTTTTTTTTTTGAAACCGGTTAGGTTCTGGGACTTTTTGATTGCTATTAAAGGTGAACTGGTTGTTGTTGTTTTTTTTTTAAGATTGCAATCATGCTACGCGTAAATTACTTTAAAAACTTTATGTTAACGAACCCCTATAGCATTTTGATGCATCGACATACATACATATATACATATTTATTTATTTCCTATATAATGCTCATATACGTGTTGTTTATGTATCCTTTGATTTTCTTTGCTCTGTGTGTTTTCTTTTTAATGTGTAACGACGAACAACAACAACAACAACACAGTTAATCCATTAACACAGTTCGAATGACGACATTTTCATTTAATTTTTGCACACTATAAACTATTTTCAACGAATACACTCCATATTAATATAAATATTTATATTTAAATTTTGAAACGTTGAATTTGTATAATTTTCTTCAAGTAATCTCGAAGCTTAGTCCTTAAAAAAAGTTCATTAGCTTGTAATCTAAGATTCTAGTCGAATGGGGCATGGATTCCAAATTCCATTAATCAAATTATGCCATTGCAACGCCTGGCTTTGAAAGAGCGCTTTCTCTTGCCCAATTTTCTAATGCAAAATAGCGAATACATTGCCTTTTGACATTTTTAGGACGCCAGCTATCTCTCTTAGTTGAACTTTTCGACTTGAGCAAGAATAATTTTGTAGGATATTTTTTCAATCATTCGTTTTCTAAGCTCCTCTGTTGAGACTTTTGAAGTCTGACACTTTCAAAATGACGATTTGTTAGAGACGATATCTATGCTTTAGTGTCAGGAGGACACTTCCACTCAATGAGCGTAAAATTGTATATAAATGCTAGTTCATCTATTTAACCGTTAATTATGGGCATATTGCTAAACCGATTGGTCCCAATATTTGCACTGAAAATGCGGGTAGTTCTAGCAAATACTTGAGCAATCACTTTTTTAAAAATCACTTAAGATTTTTCTACATTATGGACGTGTATATAAACAATATCGATCAGGGAATATTCGTAACCAAATTTCCGCTTCTTGTCTTTATTCTTGAAACTGTTACGATTTATAAAAAGTTACCCTTCAACTTGGAGCGTGCTTTAGAGAAATATATTTGCTGCACATAATCATTAGAAACCAATATATTACACGTTTGAAGACATCTACTACCTTAAGCAAAATTTTTTTGGTGCTTGAAGTAAGAAACCCGTCAAATTGACGGATCACGTAAATCTAGCGTGAAATAGTTAAAAATGATATAAAAAAACAGTTGTGTGTGTTTGGTAAAACTTTAAATTAAAAAAAAATTAAATTTTTCCAAAATTCTATGGCAATACATGGTCACTTGACCAGGATGATTATATGAAGATTAAAAGATCTCTTCCTGTGCTTTTTTTTTTTTCTTTGGAAATTCAAATTTACATCAATTTCCGTGCTTGTGGCAAAGCCTCGTATGCCTTTGTCAATACTTAAATAAAAAACTAATAACCTTGTTAAATATTATTATTTTAAAAACTTTCAAACCTTCCCAAAAAAGATTTGACGAAAAGCTCATTACTTTTTAAACTGTTACAGTGTTCAACGTCCCTGACACATTTGAACCTTATACCTGATGGCTCTGTTTATCGCAGGAAATTTGCTTTCAAAACATTTGTTATTTTTTTTTCCTTTTTAAAGTCAGTCCCTGCATCATTAGCCGATGAAAAATGAGCTAAAAAATTCCAAAAAAAAAAAAAAAAAAAAACGCTGTCTACAAGTAAGAGGAATATATATAGATATGATTTATTGGATTTGCTCGAATAAATTTCTTCTTCTTTCTTGTTCTTTTCATTAATTTTAAAAATTCATTCGTTATTGAAAAACTTGCATAGAATAAAAAGGCTTAGCATAAGCCCAAAGGTTATATATTCCTTTCCTAGTATTCTTATAATCATTACCGACAGATTGTAAAAGTATTAATTTTGCCATAATACAGTTATGTCTGTAGTCAAAAATATAAAAAAAAAAAAAAAATCAATAATTTCATTAACTCAGTACTTCCCATACCGCTTAATACAATATATTAATAAAATTTTCACACGCCATGTTATTAACACGAAAAAGCATTGAACAGCAACTTATATCAAACCTATGGATACCCTAAGCTAAGCTAAGCTAAGCTAAAGAAAATGTATGTTTTATCTAAAATACATACGACATAATATACTATATACGATTGTATTGGTAGTATTAGGTTCACTTTTCAAATCTGAAAACAGAATTAAAATAAAATTAAGTCTTGTCTCCTTATAATCTCAGATATAAGTTCTTTGCAATTTTAAGAATTCAATCTTCAGCACGCAGAGA